CATTCGTATAGTTCATCGTAATTTCTTTCACTTTCCTAACACTACTCAGGCAAAACTCTAATCATTCCTAAAATAATCCTAGTTTTTATCTTTAGATGTTCCGCTTCAATTCCTTTCATTGGTGTTTCGGTTAGTCAGAATTATGCGGTTAAAACATTTCACCACTTCACCAAATATATGCTTTAAGGCATAGAATGCATCGTATCTGCTAGCCCAGCGAGCTGGGATTAGAAATTTAAGACCCATTTCCTTGTTATGTTATCCTTTGTGGTCTATTGTTTCCAGTTCTTCCCACCGAAAAATATTATGATGAAAACAACAATATACATTTTGAACTGTTTCAAAAAGCTGACGAATTTTTATGGTTGATTCAATAGCATCCTTAAAAGTTTAATTTGGATTATGTTTTACAAAGAAACGATGTACAAAGAAACTTTTTCTGTTAAACAGTATTTCGTAACATTATATGCCTCACTCATTACTGCTGCACCACCATGTCCTTACTCAAGACATTTGTTAAATCCAAATCTTTCGTGTACATAAATTTCAGAATTTATGTTCAAGAAAGAAAGACAAGGCCTTCTGATGATTGCCTTTTTATTTTCCTAAAAGAAATAAAACTTCGTAACTTTTTAATTTCAAGGGATATTATCTTTAATTTTAGATGCTGAAATTTTGATAAGCTCATTTCGGGCTGTTAAGTATTTTACAGAACTATGTGGTAGCAGGGTTAACATATTCTGATTAGTCATCGATGCTTTCACTGGTATCATTCTTTATTTAATTAGACAAATAATTTCTCAGCTTAAAATGTGAAAATGTAAGTATCTTAGAGTAATTTTATTTTTTAATTTTTGTAAAATACAATCGCTAATGTAAAAGAACCGATACCTTTCTCTTCTCCTCAGTCGGGACCCCTAAGCTTGGGGGTCCCTGAGCTCTGCTCCGATTGTCTCGGTTATAGTTTCGGCCTAGTTCGCCAGTTTGAGACCACTGGTTTAAAACTTCATACCTTTAATTCTACTTAACATCTTCAAACCAGTGATTCGATACAGCATGTAAAGAGGAATTTTAAGAACGGCAAGTCTGTTACATAAGAAGCACCAAGACTAGCGTTACAAGATAAAATAATTAGAAAGAAATCTGAACAACATTGTACATGAAACTACAAGTAAAACAGATTTATGGATAATATCCTTATGAAGTTAGCAGATAAAGATGCAAACACATGAGAAACCCTCGAGAAATCCATGAGCAAGAATAGAAGAGCCTGAAACGAAAGCAGCAGAGACATTCCATAAAAATAGGTGTTACACAGTAATATTTGAAGTAAGGAGAAATTGTTGTGAAAAGATGTATTTTGAAAGCCGCAGGGCACCCTGCCATAACACAGCTTAAGTATTTATGATAACAGAAGTGTTAACAAGTGATACATTGATGTACAGGGTTGACAGAGTCCGTACGGTCCTTAAGAGTCCTTAAAAGTCCTTAAGTTTTTTGGAATCGAATTTTGGACCTTAAAAGTCCTTAATTTTAGCCCAAATCAGCAGAAGGTCCTTAATTTTAATCATCTGAAATTTTTGTCTGTTTTTACGACTGCCATTTTGAGTGTGAATTAGCCTTTTGGAGGAATACTTTTGGCGATTCACTGACGTATATGGCTATCTTTTGAATGGTTTCATGTGTTATAATTTGTTTCTATTTCTAATATAAATGATGGGATACTCGAGTTTCTAAGCAAGAAGTGAAACATAAGCATTTCAAAATTCATTTTTTGTAATAGAGCTCTTAAACAATTTTCGCTTTGGGGAATGTGAATTCTTTTATTAAACTTATGAATTTGGCGATTTTAAGGTCAGTTTCTATAGAAAATTTTTAATTCCGAAATCTGAGAATTTTTCGACGATTTTTTTTAAAACATTGATAAATTTTATTAAAATAATGGGAATATATTGGAATTATATTTAAAAAATAACATTAAAATAAAACATTTTTATTTTTCGCTGTAATATTATAAAGTTTCATTTTGGCAACTTATTATATACAATATTTTAAATCTGAAAAATAAACAAGGTATAATGCTATAAAGCATAATTTACGAAACAGCTCTTAGCAAAAGCAAAATTTGCTATGTAATTAATTAAAAATGTCGTCTTTTTAATTTTTTCATAGCATTTTCCCCATGTAATTGTATTGGAATATTAAAAATTCTCAGAATATGCATCAGTTTTCTCTATAAAATTAATTTTACACTTTTTGCCTCCTTTCTTTTTTTCAAAATATTTCTGGCTTTTTGCTGTTACAGAATTGGGATAATTTTTCTTCAGTATTTTTGACAATGCAGCTTGGAAAGCTTAGAAGGATTTGAAGGCAAGATTTATAGACCCATGATTCTAGAAGATTCGAGAAATATGTGATAAAATGAAAAATGTCTCCATAGTGTCAACGCATAATAGATGTATTTTATAGAAAGTTTGCGATTAATTTCTTACTTTTTGGAGAACGTCTGGAAGAACAAATGAAGACATAATATTTGAATTTTTTTATTCCTGACACTAGAATCTTTTTCTTAACATGTTTATCTTCCTTTTATTTTCGCTACTTTTCACTAGACACAAGCATTGAAAATATTAAAAATGCATCTAATCTTATCATTGGGCAGGCAGGCCCACTAGCGGCCGAGCGGTAAAGACGCTGAACACTGGTAGTTCGGTCTGAGGTTCGAATCCCGCGAACGGGCTGGCTGCATGGGCGTTTTCGTTGTTTTCCCCATGTGTAACGTGTATACGAGCCAGTTTCCCTTAGAAAGTCCTCCACGAAAGGCATCCCTCCCTTTAGGCAGATAGCCCTCGTGTGCTTTGCCATAATTAAATACACCACCACACCATTGAGCAGGCATTACAGAAAGGGATTTTTTTTATTACTAAAGAAATTGAAAACTTAAAATTTAAAAGATCCATCTAATATGTCTTAATGCATCATACACAGAGCTGGCACTAGGCATTTTCCCATCTGATGCAATCTCTGTGGATCCTAAATTCGACTGCATAGTGACTTATAAGGATTATGTTAATTTATTAACAGTTACAGTTTGAGTTAATTTTGAATTAAGGAATTACATTTTGAATTAAGGAAATCGATGTAAACTAGCCAAAATGTTTGGGAAGGCTTCAAATTAAAATGACGGATAAATATTTTGTTGAGTGTTGTTGTTTGAGGATCAGTGTCATAAATTACATGTATTTTAAACTGTGAAATTTTATTAGATTTTGATTTTAATAGGGCTTTTTTAACAAATATTGCTAAAAAATAAAATTTAATAGTTGCCATGTAAATCCATAATGACTAAGGTTATCTATTTACCTAATTTAATTATTTATAACTAACTGCTTACCCTTAAAAATTAATCCCTACATATTATTGTCTTTCATTACTACTCACTGTGGTCACAAGATAAAACACAAAGATGTAGAAATTCAAGTAAAACTTATTCTTTGCATCTAGAGACACTTAAAATAATACAAAACAACTTATCACCTCTGGTGCTTTAATGGCTTACTGGAACCTGAAAGTATATTAACTGGGTTACAACTCCTAGAACTCTACACAAAGCTATGACACTAATTGCATCAAACAGAGCTTGACTAACTTTCAACACTTGCTTAAACGTGCCTACATCTGGCCTTTCAAATTTGTTCTAATCAGCAGGCCTCTCTCTCTCTAGACAAGCAGCAGCGGTGATAACATTCAGTCTTTTGGTTATGAATCATGCTAATTATGATCTTACTTGTCATTTTAATCTATGCTGTTTGACATAAAAATCTACCTGCTATTTACTAAACCTCTAGACCCGCGGTTCTCAATCTTTTGACTATGAAAACCTTTAGTACCACCACTACAAAGTACTAGTACCAGCACCACTCTTGAACAAAGCTCAGATCGCATAAATATACAAGTGTTAGAGAAAAAACTCAATCAGGATGTTAGGGTTTTAATTTTTGAAATAAGTAGTTAAAAGTACTTTGCTTCATTGGGTAGTACCTATTTTTTTCTTCGTGACAAAATGAGGCATAAAAAAAATCAACATAAAGCTAACTGTTAGTAAAATGTAAATGTCACTTATCTTCTTTCAAAAATGTCCAACCTATTATAAGTGTAAAATATTTAATGCTACTTGAAAACTGCATGAAGTTTATTTTATTCTCAAACTTATTAATAATTATGTTTAATTAATTCATTTTCAGTAATAATGCATACTACTTAGGGATCTATTTTATTTTTAGGATGGTATTACAAAAGTAAAATTCAGGCATAGAATAATATTTTTAATTGAATTTATTCAGTTCCCATTTGTTCATAGGTCCTTAATTTTTTAATTAATGGTCCTTAAAAGTCCTTAATTTCCGTGTGCAGAAACGTGTACGAACCCTGGTTGATGAAAAGCCGACACCTATGCATTTCCTTTTCCTTCCATGCCTTATCTGGGATTCTAACTAGGACCCATCTTGATAAATGACAGCTGTTCATTACTCAGTATTACATCAAGTGGCAAATGTCCATTACTCCTCTTAGTCAATATTATGTTACGATCAATTTTTTTTTTTTTTTTTTTTTTTTTTTTTTTTTTTTTTTGTGTGTGTGTGTGTGTGTGTGTCTGTCTGTCTGTCTCGTCAGTCGCATTTTGTAACTAGTGTCGATTCTTCTCTATGTGGATCCTGTACGTTGTCGATTCTTCGCTATGTGGACCCTATGCAGTATGAGTTTTATAAACGGTAGATCTTGCGCAATGTCGAATCTACGCCGTGTCAATTTAGAGCAGTGTCAATCATATGATTGTAAGCCTTTTAAAGAAAGAGAAACCATTAACCTGCAATAACCTATTTTCTTTGCTATGAAGTCGAATAGAAACATAACTAAGAAAATAATATATAATAATATAACTAAAAAAAACATTGTTCTCCTTGAATATTACTTGACATTTTTTTCTTAATGCATTTCAGATTGGCGGCTCTTTTTGCACCAACCATAATGAAAAACAAGAAACCATCGGACATCTCATCCAGCGAAGTGCAGGATATTTCTGACGTCGTTGGAAGTTTTGGTCCTTGGCAGAAGACGGGTGTTTATAATATTCTTTTATATCAACATCGTTGGAATTTGGCAAAACCTCTCTATCACTTTCTTGGCTCCAAATATGGATTTCTGGTGTGTTGAACCCAACAGTACGGACTCTTCTTCCCTTCACGTCTTGCTAAACAGCACCGATCAAATACTCAGAAGACTTAACAACGATACTTCTAAGGATGAATGTATGATAACCGTATATTCAGAACAGAATGTCACTATGGTTTCTTTTGTCAACATATCTCAACCAGAGATAGTACCCTGCACAAAGTGGCACTATGATACTTCTTATACCTCTCAAACTTTAGTTAGCGAGGTAAACCCTTTCATAAATATTTTAAATCATTTCTATGTACCAAAACTAATTACATAAAATCTCCTGAAGATGTTGCTCAAGAGATAAAAGCACATCCTTAAAACCATCTGGAATATTCCCTTGATATGTCAGATTTATCTTTCTGAGTACTTAATGTTCTCTTAGCATATTCCCAAGATAATTTCGACTCAAAACGTTGGTGGATGTTGATTCTTTACCACCATGATATGGCAATTGAGTCCCCAGTCGCCCTTTAAAAGAGGGTGTGTATAAGGTATTTCTCCCGCCTTCTTAGCATGCCTTCGTGGTGTAATAGTCAGCACTGTCGGCGCGTATTCGAGAGCTTCGAGGTTCGAGTCCCGGCTAGGGCATTGCTCATTTTTCATCTCTCCTGCTTCGAAATAACCTAATGTCTCTACAACCGAACCATCGCAAGTTTTTTTTTGTCGTCTCGAACTCTTTAAATTCCAAAAGCATCCGTATCTTATCAGATAAATGTTTAATGCCTTTTTGGTGTTGAACTTCTTTAGTATTTCCCTAAGAATGTTGTTTCCGATACTTCCAACTTTTATTTGGAGACACTAAATCCTACACTTTGTGAACTAAGTTGATCGAAGAGTTTCTTAAGAGTGCTCTTCGTGCTCGTAATAAGATTGGTCTAGATCAGCGGTCGCCAACCGGTGGTCCACTTTTCCGTGATAACGTTTTGTTGGTCTGCAGGAAAATTGGGACATTATTAATATTTTTATGAAGATTCAGTTTAAATGATGATGAGTAACAAAACTTATTATGGAATATGGATTACACTTTTTTAATTTTAGCTACTACTTTTAGCGAAATTCCTTATAAATTTAGCGACCTTTTTAGCTACTTTTGCAGGTGTATCTAGCGACATTTGAAAGTGAGAGTTGGCATCCATGGATATGCTGCTGCTATCAATATTAGCGTGAACTGTAATTCTCTTTCCTTTTGAATTACAAACATATGTTATTGTAGTTGTTAATAACACAGTTTTTCTCTGTGTCAATAGGCAACTTGATGAATTTTTATGAGAACCATCTGCCTTCTTGTTTATAATTGCATCACTGAAAGTTTTTTGTTTGGTCAATATGTTGATCAATGACGCCATTGCTGAGTAAGGGATGGTTATTATGTTTACAATAATTAAAAATTGGAGGCATAAGGCTATCAGTTTATTGATATTGCTTTGCTTTTGCCGATTTGTTCTTGCTTTTTATGAAGTTCCTTTTCAGTGATATGGAAATGTGAAGCTTTCTGTACAAGAAGGTAATATTTTTGTACTTTTCATTTAGTTTTTTTAAATGTGAACGAAATATGTGTAGTTTGTTTATTATTATTGTATAAATGTATTTACCTTTTTTAAATTTATATTAGTGGTCCGCCAAATATAAAATTACATATGCAGTGGTCTGTGAAGTTCTTTAAGGGTTGATGGCTGCTGGTCTAGCTATCGCCATATAATTTGAAATACGTTTCTTTTATAGTCCTGTACCAGTTCGTCTACACAGAGATAACATACTGATATTTCGAATTTTGGTTTGTAGGGTTTCCCTTAGTCTGCATAACAAGTTATTTTAATTGGTACCTTTCCTGAACCTCTCGTTTTTCCCTCGGATTTCCTCACCAGACGCAAATTTAAAGTTCAGTGAAGTGAGTATAAAATCAGACGAAGCGAGTAGTTCAATCAGAGCAGGATTTCGCTAGCCGGTGGATTTTACTATTTTGCTATTACGCTGAGTTGCTGATATGCATTTTTAGCCATTTAATAAGTATATGACTGGGTAGGTCGTTGAGTCAGCCTAGTTAGCCTGATGTTAAATTGTTAGTTAATTTCAGGCTAATTAACTACTTGCTATCTTTGAATTTTTTGTGAAATTATTCTTAAGTTCCACCGCAAATCGTCGGTGTTATTGCAAGTACGAAGTATGCGAATTTGTGTTAAGAGTTTGACAAATAATAAAGGGTATATTTTACCCTTCTTCTGTGCTGGTATTATTCACGCCTGTGTTTCTTACTAAGATCCAGTTTATTTAATGATAGTGAAGAGAGTTAAATCTTACAGTTGTAGCGTTGCGCGCCTCCAACTTGCACGCAACCAAGAGATGACTGTGAAAACTGGATAAAAGACAGAGTCTTGTTAAGGGTTTAAGTCCCTTTTTATTCAACGTAATAAATTACAAGTGCGTGCTCTTGACGCTCACAAACTGCGCCAACTCGGCGGTCAAATAAAAATAATAACCTGAAAACAAACTAAAGACAAGACTCTAACTACGAGGTTCTCTAAAAGTAACTAACCTCACCGCGTTTTACAATACCGCTGCTAATTCAGCAAACTTGAAGATCACTTGAACGATTAACACTACTTCCATCCAGGCAAGCACACAGGCCGAAACGCGGGGTTCTTCAATTTCTGGCCAACTACCTCCGCGCTCGTGAAGTAAGAATATCACACCTCGAACTCGTTTCCTTTCTATTTAAATCAGAATACTTCCGCTGATAATTTGAATCCTTGCGCGTTCTACTAAAATTTACATACTCTGGCATTGGTAGTTCCAGGGGAAAGTAAGGCTTGACAGGAAAGATAGTTTAAACTTAAAATAAATGTTAGTTAAAATAAATATAAACCCTGCATTTGCAGCTGCCAGAATTTGGAAAACTTGGAAGCAGGTCCTACAAACGACCTGTTGTAAGTTTCTCTAATTCTGAACTAACTGTCGAGAACCTCGTTTCCACAAAAAAAAAAAAAAAAAAATCTTATGTAACAAATTGTATACTAAAATTCTGTTGATAGTTATAACTCTCTCTTCTTGCAGCAACTTTTCCTGGACTTCATCAATCAATCTTGGTCTTTCCTTCCAGCATCTGGAAGGAATAAGTATCAGTATCTTTCTAAATACATTATAATTTACACTTTCTTGACACAATAAATTTTTGTTTTTAAACGATTCGTTTTTCTTAGTTATTGCTTATGCACATTCATTCAATTTTTCAAGCATTAATTTAACTTTACCCATGGCTCTCCACCATGTGTGGTGTCAAACGGGAATATTCGTGTTTTAGTCTTACAACACTTTCCCTAACCACCATGATTTGTTAGAATTCAACGACCAAATGGACACACCTTACTCGACATTCTACAACTCGATGAGCTACTTTAATATTCTTAAAAAATTCAAGTGTAGGTGGAGAACCCTACAAAACACATTCATTCTAACTTCCCCCCTCATTCATCTTTAAACATGCAGGCTTTCGCTCTAAAGCATGACTTTATCTACAATTTAATACTTAAATTTTGACTTCATTGCTTTTAAGCATTCACTTTTAGCATCTAAAATTTTATGCTTCTAGACTAAATTCATATTTTACATAACATTCAAGTATTTACGTACATTTACAAAATTTTAATACATATAATTTTTACAATTTACCATACAATGAATAGAGAAAATAAATTTTTACTTTACTCATTCTTCGCCAAGCTGGCGGCACTGAAACTAAAATTTTATTAATACAAGAATACGAAGTTATTTTCTATCTTCGGCCAAATTTTGGCTTTAACATAACAGAATTAGTCTTTCGACCAACAGAAAATGCTTGTTTCTTAGCTTTTATACTTAAAGAAAATAAATACTTTTGCCTTAGCTAAATAAAGTAAAACAAAACTAAGTCTCAACCGAGACATATTGACTTTCGTCAAAACATAGAACTTCGTACTTATACATAACATTTCGGAACAAAAGAGAAAAAAAAAAAAAAATTATAGAAGATTTTAACTTATCTTTGAGTTTTCGATCCTTGAAACTCCGTCATTCTTTTGTGGCAATATTGTTCCCAAGTTATCGGTTTCATGGACGTCAATCTTCTCCTTACTGACCTCCGAGTATCGTCCACATGAGTTTTTCTTTTGCGTCCTCTGCATGCTGGCCTCTTGGCGGAGTAATCGTCTGGTTGTTGGCATTTCCGTTTTTCCATGTGACGGCTGGTCTTGACGTCCTCCGGTCTGGAGTCCTTCTTGAATTTCTTCTGTTCCTCGTATTTTTGTGCCTCCTCCTGTTGCCGTTTCAGTTTCCGGAACGGCGGCCTTGCTGGCACCTGACTCTGTGGCCGTGTGCGCGTTCTCCTTGATGTATAATTTCTCCTGCGATCCTTTGTAGGTGGTGTTTTTGCTCTTTACCACGGTTTCTTTACCCGGTGCATCTGTATTTTTGTTTTTCTTAAACGCTGGAGTCTGAAAGTTATTTTTTCTTTTTGATACCGACGTCCGGGTTGTAGAAGGGCTAGGTCTCTCTTCAGTTCTCTGTTTCTTGGGTGGTGGAATAGTTGTTATTGTCTCTGGACCTTCTACTTCGTTTAGACTTGAGTCCTGCAAGAAACTTTTAAGGATTTCAAAATCATTTGGATTATAGTATTTTTTCACCTGGTCGGGACTTGCTTTACAGATTTCCCCTCTCTCGTTCTTAGAATATATATAACTACTACTCCTTTGATTTCCTGAATTACATAGGGGCCTTCAAACTTTGGAGCTAGCTTTGCCGTAAAATTGTCTGGGGCACTTGATAAAGAAAATTTCCGCTTCAATACTTTATCCCCAACTTTAAAATCTGCTTCACACGTTGGCGTTTTTCTATCATAATATTACTTTCTGCCTATTTTCTTTTTAGTATCTTGCCGTTCTTAAAGCATAAGCTAATTCATTTATGTAGCCATCCCAGCGCTTGTGATGTGTGCTCACGTAACTGCGAATTATTTTTACTATGTTTTTATTAACTCTTTCTGCTATGTTTAGCCTGTGGTCTATACGGAACCATTTTGATATGGCGTATGCCAAGTCCATTGCATATGTTTTCAAATATTTGACTAATGAATTGTTTTCCGTTATCGCTAATGACTTTTTATCGGTGCACCGTATTTTAAAATGTATCTGTGTAAGAATGCATCTGCGACTGTTTTGGCTGACGCGCGTTTAAGTGGAACAATTTCTGTCCATTTTGAAAAATGATCTACTATTACTAAAAGAAAACGATTTTTATTTAACTCGCTCTGGGGGAAGGGACCAAGAAGATCTATGCCTAAAATTTCATTCGGAAATGTAGCGCGAATGCTATTTAAGTACCCGGCCGGGCTGTAATTAATATCATTTATTAACTGACATTGATTGCAGGACCTGACATACGCCGTTACTATTTTGTATAATTGCGGGAAATATACCGCCTCGCGTACCCTTTTTAAAGTCTTTCTGACCCCTAAATGGCCCGCTGTTTTTCGCTTCGTGTAACTCCTTCAAAATGCTTAATCGAAGCGAGGCTGGGATGACTGGCTTATACTCAAGATTTTCGTTTGTTGTTTTTCGTATAAAATAAATAATTATCTATTATTTCATAGTTTTTGCTCTATTTCTTATCGCATCGATGTCTGTGTGCTCAAAGCTTTCGGGGTCTTTCAAATATGCATAGATATTTCCAAATTCAGGATCAGCTTTCAGTTCAGTAATAATCGTATCTCTGGAATCTAAAATTTTTGAAGTCAACACAGCGCATTTAAGTTCATTTCCTTCATCGTCCAATTTTATACGAGAAAGTGCGTCAGCTACATTGTTTTCCTCTAGATTTTTTCCGCTATTCTGCGATTTTGAAACTTCACCGCCAATTCGAAGAGCTCCTGCTATGTGCTTGGGTTTCTAATTTCAAAGTAGTCTTGAACAGCGGGTAACAATCTTGGTAAGATTATTTCAATAATCTCCGCATCGGGTTTCTTCCCATACAGCATATCCGCAGCTTAATTTTTCGTAGAATAAAGTCCGTCAATTCTTCTATATCCCGTTGATAGAAACTATATAGTTCCGCTTCCAGCCGTGCTCTATCTTTCACTATGGTTAAGGCCTTTACTAACGATTTTTTGAAATTTTCAAATGTATATGTCTGGCTTCCAAATTCCCCTAATAAAAATTTGCCTATATTCTTCCACCATAGCGCGGCCCTGTCCTCTTATTGCGAGATGTGGCGATGGCAACTATTTGTCTTTACAGGCACAGGGTAGAGCTGGAAAGTGATATTCTAGGCCTTCTAAAAATATATCGCCACCGAATTTTTTTCTTTTTTCCGTCGAAATTGACGTTTGGCTTAATTGACGCTCTCTTCAAAGTCTGGACCAGGTATCCAAATCCTTCCAATTGGCTTGCCAGTTCTCTTGGTGTTGTCCAGAAACGGTTTCCATCCAATTTTCGGCCATTTTCAGTTCGATAAGTGTTTCGGGCGCCAATGTAAGCGTTGCGCGCTTCCAACTTGCACGCAACCAAGAGGTGACTGTGAAACCTGGATAAAGACAGAGTCTTGTTAAGGGTTTAGGTCCCTTTTTATTCAAACGTAATAAATTACAAGTGCGTGCTCTTGACGCTCACAAACTGCGCCAACTCGGCGGTCAAATAAAAATAATAAACCTGAAAACAACTAAAGACAAGACTCTAACTACGAGGTTCTCTAAAAGTAACTAACTCACCCCGCGTTTTACAATACCGCTGCTAATTCAGCAAACTTGAAGATCACTTGAACGATTAACACTACTTCCAGGCAAGCACACAGGCCGAAACGCGGGGTTCTTCAATTTCTGGCCAACTACCTCCGCGCTCGTGAAGTAAGAATATCACACCTCGAACTCGTTTCCTTTCTATTTAAATCAGAATCAGAATACTTCCGCTGATAATTTGAATCCTTGCGCGTTCTACTACTAAATTTACATACTCTGGCCTCTGGCATTGGCAGTTCCAGGGGAAAGTAAGGCTTGACAGGAAAGATAGTTTCAACTTAAAATAAACGTTAGTTAAAATAAATATAAACCCTACACAGTGTTTCACTTGTATCATGTTTTCTCTGACATTTCTTGCTATTTCATGTTTATATTTATTCGTTCACTTAGATTTAAATTTTTCTGTCCGCTATGATTTGCTGCTTATTTCGCAGTCTGCTATATAGTGTGGTGCTTTATTCTTATTGGCTGTCTTCTGATCCTAAATCTGTTATTAGCTTTTGAAGAGAATCTTTTATGACTCTTGATTTGCTTGTTGGCATTAAAGTAACGAATAAGAATTTCGAATTCCTTCTGAGCAATTTTAGTTTGAAAAGCCATCCGGTATTAATTAATCATTTTATGCATTAATTTATTGAGCAAACAGCAGACCAAATAAGCTTATATCACGCAATAAAGGCGTAAAAAGAACTCTGAAATTTTTAATATGTATTCTTATTGCGGTTTAGTTGAAGTTTATTTCAATCTGATTCTGTTTACTTTTGCAATATGTTTCTATGAGAGTTTTATTCAAAATTTACCCCAACTTAGGATTGCGCTTTTGCTTAGTTTTAAAATAGAGATAGTTCTAAAGTTTCTTACGATATTTCGCTATTTCGGATGGCGCTTGGATGGACAGCATTAAAATTACTCGCTCTAAAATGACATTCGCAGAATGAATGCTATTTTGGAGCGGATTACGTTCGATAAACGAGTTATGATTGTTTTTATTAAAATTATGCAAAAGTATTATACTTATGATTATTATTAATAAATTTATTTAATTCTTATATATCTTTAAGTAATAATTATGCATAATTATTAAAATTATAATTATTATAAAAATTACGCATAATATTTTGTTGTTGATCTTTTTCAGTTTGATCTTGTGTGCGATAGAGAATGGCTCGTATCTCTAGCTAAATCAATATACATGATAGGATTTTTGATATCTGTAATATTCTTTGGGCAGCTATCCGACTGGTAAGTAATTTGGGAAACAAATTATCAAGCTGAGTTTATTTTGCAATTTTAGATTTAATTCTTATATTCCTTTAAGTTTTCTATTTTAGATCACTTTACCTAAGTGGTCGTGTAATTTCTAGTAATTAAATAATTACATTACCTATCTTAATCGGTTTGGAAAGATTTGGAATTTTAAGAATTAAAAGAATATCGAGCTGACGTCGGGTCTAAAATGCTAAGCATAACCCTAAGTCCGAATAGTTGTAATAAATTACTAATTTATTTAAAGACAATTTTTTTTTTTTTTTTTGCATTCACGAATAAAGATTTTTAGCTATTAATGCAATTATATATTTTCTTACCAAAATTAAATTAAACTTTTAGTTAAAAATATCTGTTTGATATGGTTTGAAAACATATATACGAAATAAACTGTTTTATTTTCCCTCAAAATATCAATATTTAAAAAATAAGAGTGATTTATTCATGTATTAGATAATTTTGAAGCTTGTTTGCAGGGATTATTAGTCTTCCAGAACAGGAAACGTTTAGCTGTCTTTTTGTCGTGATTCGAGCCATGGACCTTCAAGTGCTAGTTCGATTGCTAATTTCTTCAAGGCTGGTTGGATATGGCAAACATTTCAAATGCTAGTTCGAATGTTTTAATTTTTGAATTACACCCACTCGCCCACAAGAACATGGGCTCCTTGTATTTTCTCCCACTAAAAAATCGGTTACATGCCAAAATTTCGCGGAGAAAACAAAGCAAGGCGAAAATGTCGTCGTACAAAACACAACGGAAGAAAAGAAAGCAAAGAGAAGCACCGCAGTTCTAAAACATCTTAATGCAAAATATCGTCGTCGATAGCCAAACGATTCAATTACTTCGCTGTTTAAAAACATTGTAATCGAAAGTATTGTGGTAAAAATTAAAGCCCCTACAAAATCACTGCATGACAATAACATCGCAGACATGCGTTTTTAGGCTTTAAAAGTTGTAAATACATATTCGCATAATGATTTGTGAGCGCAAGAAGTAATGAACATTTTACCTTTATATTTTTGAATAAACTAATAAATTATGCTGAAAAATCAAGGAAGACCCTTAAGCATTCGAAAACTGAAAATGAGTAGAAAATTAATGTGATTTATAGCAGATAACGTAATATCTTAGTATGATAATTAATTAAACAGTTTTAATAGAGGTAACTACATGCAGTTACTCATTTTCTCTTTTCTAGTCTTTTTTTACCACTTAAAAGAGAATAATTTGTTAATAACTTTTATTATTTGACTATATAAATTTAAAATTATGTTTGCTGCTGTAACCAATATTATTTTTCTACTCATTTTCAGTTTTTGAATGCTTAAATCTTCTTCTCAATTCCTCAGCAATGTATTAGTTAATTGAAAAATTAACATATCATCTTCAATCTTTGATATTTGTAAGCACATGTCCTGTAACTTTTTAAAATAGTTTCTCGGATTTCAGGATCGGGCGCTTACCTACGATCGCCATTTCGTATGTCGTTTCCTGTATCAGTCTGCTTCTGTCTTTGTTATCCACATCGTACCTCATGTTCGTCATACTGCGCTTTTTTCAGGCATTTGGTAGAACTGGATTGACAACCATTGGATTCGTATTGTGTAAGTGCTATTCAGGCTCTTCATGCTGTTGTTACTAATATTAAAAACATTTTCAAATCGCTGATATTTTCCAATTTTAGTAATTACCCTTTATATGGTAATGAAGATCAACAAAGTGTATTTTAAGTTTAAAATTAGGTGGAAAAGCAACCTATTGGAGTAGATTTTGAATAAAATTCTGTCGATTTTGAGAGTGATGAAACATGTGTACGTCTCTCTGTCAGAACTAACTTTCTTTACTATTATACACAGCATCTAGATCTAAAAGTCTAGCCAGGCGACTTCTCGCACAGGCGTGAAAAGTTACACAGTGTAAAAAGCCTTTTTTTTATTTATCACAACTCTTTAACCGATAGGCACGGACTTCGAATCTAGATCTAAAAGTCTGGTCAGGCGACTTCTCGCACAGGCGTGAAAAGTTACACAAGAGAAAAAGGGTGTAAAAAGCTCTTTTTTATTTATTGCAGCTCTTTAACCAAAAGACACGGACATCGCTTAGATCTAAAAGGCTAGCTAGGCGACTTCTCGCACAGGCTTGAAAAGAAATCGAGGGTTTAAAAAGCCATTTTTATTTATCACAATTCTTTAACCTTAACCGAAAGGCATGGACTTCGTTCTCCCGAAAAACACGGTTACTTGCGGTGAGAACTTAAGGTAAATTTAACAATAGATTCGAAAAATAAGACGTAGTGCCAGACTTCACAATTTAATTTGACCTAACAGGCCGAATCAGCAACCTTCACCAGTGATAGACTAACTAAACGGCCAGTATGCGTAGCTGCTACTAAGTTAACAACTGGAGGACAAAATAGCAAACGTGCGCAACACTAGCGAAATCACGCTGTGTCTCAACTATTCATTTCAACCGCTTAAACACTCTCTTTCACCCGCTTAATTTGCAACTTGACGAGGAAATGCGAGGGGAAATAGAGGATTCAAAAAAGATACCAAAATTGAAATAACTATGTAGTAAACTTGTAGAGACATCAAGCTATTTCGAAGCATGAGAGAGTCATTAGGATATTTTAGAAGCAGGAGATGAGGGAAAATGAGCAATATCATCGCGACCATGGGCCTCTCGAATATGCGTCGGGCGTCCTGACCACTACACCACAACGGCATGCTAAGAAGGCGGGAGAAATACCTCATAAACTAAGGAAATCCTCTTTTTCAGAAGCAACGATATGTTTGCAATAGTGAAACCACAGAACGTAGGGTCAGGAACCTTTTACGTTAGTTGAAGGACTGTTAGGCCGGTTACGTTAATTACAAAACGATGCATATATACCGTCGTACAGGCAAAGATTGGAAGCAATAGAGCAAGGTGGAAAAGATTGTTGCAGGTAAAACGTTGAGGTCTTGAAGTTGCAGGAACAATGTCAGATGTAAAAACTGTTTGAAAAATAGAACACAAAATAGAGTTCTTGATGTAAAAATTGCTGCTGAATGCTGTAATATAGTCAGTGACATGAAAGGGTATGCGTAACAGAAATTATATGATGCAAAGAAAATGAATGCTTCATTAAATAAATAATTGAAAATATTCTGTGAAATAGTTATCAGGAACAATTATGATGAATCGTGCGTAGACGCTTATACGGTTTGTTCTACAGTGGGATCAAAATTAGCAAAAACAGCAATATGTGCACATTAGGATTAGGTTAGATTATATGAATATGGTCAAACACATGACGGTTTAAATACAATAACACGCTGAACAAGTATTAATTTAGAAGTCAAAACAGCAAAAATGTTTTCAAATTTGAAACATAACGCTGCTTGTTGTTGTTTGGGTTCTAAATTAACACATGAGGGTTGTTTGTCCTAGGGTTAAGCTGTTACTGCGTGTCCTCTGGAGGAGAAAAATCTAAGATATGTGTACCAAGGTCCGGGACGACAAGCGACATAATTTAAACAAGGCATACAAGGCCTTGAACGAAACGTATTGGAATCCTATGTTGCTACAAGTAAGCTGTATATCATAAGCTTAAAAGCTCTTTTTTTTTAATCGAATGGCGGGCACTTGCCTTTTTCAGCATTGGCCAATCCTAAGAACAGAATTGGTGGTCATTTTATTGTGGAGGCACCTAATAGTCGCCCACCGTTACCTCCTATGAAGGGACAGACAATTTATATTCTTGGCCTTCTCCAGGATTCGAAACCGGGCTCTTCGGTATCGCAGTCAACTCATTTAACCACTATACCATCTGGGCAGGAAAAGCTTAAAAGCTACGCTGTATAAATTATAGGATTATTTACATCAATACAAATTAAACGTTATGTAAGACTGAGCGCAATGTACGTTTCAAGAGATAGTTCTGAGTTACGAGTAATGTGCTGTGCAAACGATTTTTCATTTTCCATTAGTTGAGCTCTCCAGGTCTGAAGATTGTTTCCAGAGAATTATGAGAGATGGAAGTCTTGTGTTAGAGTTCATTCGTGTAAGTAATATCTCAAATTGTCTACTTTATCCTAGGAGTACTAGTCCGAACCTGTATACATTAGCCGGTGTAGGGCAGTGTGCATTTGAATCAACATGGAGTTTTCTGATTTTAGGGCTGACGAGATTAGCAGACTCATGGGTGAAACGCTTTGTTTTCTCTGTGTCCTATTGCTATTGTCCGCGTTTATTTTGAATTTTCTTTTCCGGGTTGACTCCGGATTGGGAATATGTCCCATACATAGAAACGTGTATGTTGCACCTTTTCCAACATTTTTCCCAATGCACTTATGTCGTACCCTACGTGGGCTTTGATCCATTGCAGGATGATGAGACCATCGCTACCGAGAAGAAGTTCTCTAACAGAATACACAAGTTCGCATTTAAAAGAGCCATCACTAATGGCTTCAGTACTAGACATGCCGTCTGGACGTATAACTGTTCTAAAGTTTTTATAGAGATCCTGCTTTACTGCTTTGAGAAATGTAAATGTGTATTCCGCCTGAAAGACAGAATTCAGGTTTCTCAATCTACTTGACATTAAAAAATATAGTTATTCCACATTTTCGTGTAGACGGCACTGATTGTATCGTCCTCAGTTTTTCAATCGTCGATATATATTCAAGTTCTGCTGTTCCTTCTGCTATATCACTAATAAAGGCCTCATGATTATATCTTGCAGAATGTGTTTTTGCTGATACTAGTGTTTTCACGAAAACTTATCTTACAGCCAATCCGTTCAACTGAGTTCGAATCCAAATCGAACTCGCAGTACTCGATGGTCTTAAATACTCTGCCACTGACGGCCATTTAGAGTTTCAAACATGTGAGAAGAAACTGTGTACGTTTGTAAAAATGAATTCTTAAGCATACTGAATGTCGAGTTCTTTATATAATTGTGCATTTCTTGCAAACCATGGTGCTTTAGTCATGATTCTAAGAACCTTATTTTGAAAAGGTAATTTTTTCCTATATGATTTGTGGGCTGTTGTACAAATAGGAAATGCATGGAAAAGAATATGACAAATCGTACGTAAAGTGTCCTTTTGACACACAGATTCAGTTTTGGTCGGTATCCAGTAAGTGGGTATGTAATCATGAAAGCTGCATTTGCTTTCTGTAATCGAGACTATTTGGTCTTTAAATTTATGTTCTTCAAAATAAATTCCGAGGTATTTTGTGGAGCTAACCGGTGGAAGAATATCATTGCTTATATTAAAGTCAGAACTTAAGTATTTAAATTTCAGTATCTTCAGAAAGAGACACAGAGTTTCGAAGCATTTAATTTTATTCTCCGGGTGTCACACCATTTTGAGATGATATTTATTCTAAACTGGAGGTTGTTGATGGCTTGCCATTAGCAAAGTTTGCTCTTTCGGCTAATAAAGGATTTGGAATGTCATCTGAAACTATTTAGAAAAGGATTGGTCCCAAAACCAATCCTTGAAGAATTCTAGCACATATATGCTTCTTGCTAGAATATACATTTCCATCACGTACTTGATAAAGTACGACATTTGAGACATGTTTGTTATGAAATATACTATTTCACTTAACATAAATATAAGACCTTACTACCAGATGCTTTTTAAAAATCTAAAATGCTTGCCGCTGTTGTCGACTTTTTAGTGAAGGCATTAACTACATATTCAGTAACGTCTAATATTTGCATAGAAATGCTACAGGCTTTAGGAATGTACAGTATATACTGCATTCTATATTTATAATGCATTTAAAAAAAGAAAATCTAGCAAATGACGGTACTTTTAGCGTCAACTAGAAATGCTGTATATCCAGAGAATTATCGATAAATTGTTGAAAATGCTTGAATCTATTACTAACTTGTTGGGTTCCTATGCGTTTTCCGAACATAAAGTTGAGCTATACTCGTTGCAGAAAATAACAGAGTACTGGGTTTCAAAGTAAAGTGGAGCACCTTTCGCCCTTTGCTTAGTAATGAACCTTTCTATATATTATTCTTGGTAACGAACTTTTGTATATACTATTCTGTATATTATGATAATATAATTTCTATACATTATAATGTTTCTATGTGTTATAATAACCGTTCTATATATTATTTTCGATGGTGATATTATTCATTATTCCTGCTGGTGAACCTTTTTATTCTCATTCTTCTTTAAATCAGTTAGCTTCAAAATTAAAAAGTAAATATTTTTTTTTTTTTAATTTAGTTTTTTTTATCAACAGACTGAGTTAATTCGAAATATAAATATCTTACATTTTGATGAATGATAACGGATTTAAATAAAACGTGAAACACCGCAAAATCGTGTTAGGAGACTAATGGCACTTTTGTGCTAAAAGTATAATAAAAAATAGTTATTTATTACTTAAATCGTAATGTTAAGCATGAATCATCTTATATATTCCATTAGAACATGCTTCATGAAAACCGTAATTATCCTTTCGAGGTATTGCAATGTAAACACCACCGTTATTTTGTCTTTTTCAATCAATAAACTTGAAGAATAAGCATTTCTTTGAATCTGTAGTTTTTTACACAATTTAATGTTATTTATACGTTTATTTTTGATTCTTTTAAGTGATGGAAATAGTTGGACCTCATCATCGAACCGAAGCAGGAATTGCCATCCAGTTAGGATGGACTGTGGGTTTCATCACTTTGGCACTTGTAGGTTATCTTTTCAGGCACTGGTTTTGGTTCCAAGTTGCAATGTCAGTACCTCTCTTACCTCTAATGTTCGCCTACAAGTAAGTTTAACAGTCTTCACTCTTAGACATCAAATAATACGCTCGAAGAATAAACTACTGTCAACTCTTGATTATCCTGACGCTGATCGGTAGAATCATAGAGTACGTAGCCTACCTGCGTCAAAGAGTATAATCGTTATTTCAGGGTATCCTGAGTACTGAGATTATAATAGAATTACAAAACTACATGTTATTAACCAGATTATAATATGATTTATAAACTAAAAATTTCATGACCTAAACTATTGTACAGTCAAAAGTCGTTAATCCGGACTCGTCGGGACTTCGGCGATTCCGGATTATAGATCATCAGTTTAAATCTCGTGAGATGGCATGCAGAAATTCTAAAATTAAAAATATGAAACCGTAATTTATGAAGTAAAGAACAATTATAATCTAATAAGTATCAAAATTTACAAAAAAAAAAAAAAAAAAAACCCCGCTTAATATTTATTTGTTTACTTTATTAAACATTTCTTTCAATGTAAGTTGCTTCATTTTATGTGATAATACTTTCTTTTTAATTCTATAAACAGACATAATTTCTTGTTCAGTTATAAAGTTCCGCTGTTCAAGTCCCGTTAATTGCTGTGCCGAGAATACCGACTAACTTGTCAATCGAAATTTTTTCGTTTTCACAAACCTCTCTGTCACCTTCTTCATGTCTTTATCCATTTTTTGCAGCAATTCCACTTTTTGTTTGATGAACATCGAAACATACTTTCGTTTTGTATGATCCTTTGGGAGCTCCAGAATCGGAAATTCTATTTGACATAATCGAAAGTTCAAGTTTACTTTTATAGTATTGCTCTTACAGTCTGCAAAAAATAATAAGCCAGATCCAATTCGAAAATTAAGGAACAACGCAATCATCAACATTAACTGAAATCGATAATTAGATAATTTTAGCTTATACCGTCCGTTATACATAAAACGCGCACTCGAAAACGTATTCTTCGCTTGCGCACACTCATATGCGCAGTCGTAAAAGGTCTTACGCGCACGCGTAAACGCCTATGCGCAAGTGTCAACGCGGCGCATGCGCAGAAAGTTTTTAGCTTTGAGGTCCGGATTATGGGTGTCCTAATTAACGACTTTTGACTATATATACATAAAAACGGCAGATTGAATATAGTGAACTCTCGATTAACTAGAGTCATTCGAGGGATGATAGCCACGTTTAACTCAAAATCATGGTTCATCAAAGGATAATCAACGTTGCCTACCTGCTGAAGGCGACGTTGCTAAGTCGATTTCCTTGAGAGTAGTTGTCTGCGACTTTGCGTTATTCTCGCCATTACTCTTGGTCAGAGCTAGCCTGCGCGTTTGCTAAGTGTGCAGCCGTTAGGCTAACTTACTTTTCTTAGTTTTAGTCAACCCATTATCTTTGATTTAAAGCATAATTGTTGGCTTTAGTAAGCAAAAGTAGTGACTTCTAATAAAAGTTCAATAAAATAGTATAATAAAAGGGTCCTTTGCACCCTTCTTCTGTCTCTGTGGTGCTTACAAGACATAGTGATAATTCACTTGTCGTCTTTTAAATTTCGTACACTTTACGTTAGCAAAGAAAATGAAACGTCACAAGTATTTTAATATTAATTTCAATATAGGTTATTTCTTCTTCCTTTCATTATCTGTCCTTTAATGAACCATGATTTTGAGTTAAACGTGGCTATCGTCCCTCGAATGACTTAGTTAATCGAGAGTTCACTATATTCAATCTGCCGTTTTTATGTATACACTAGTTTAGGTCATGAAATTTCTAGTTTATGAATCATATTATAATCTGGTTAATAATATGTAGTTTTTGAATTCTATTATAATCTCAGTACTCAGGATACCCTTAAATAACGATTATACGCTTTGAACACTAATAACAAAAACACTATCAACAAAAAATATGAAGTTATTTTTGATTTTGCATATGTTAAAGCTATATATGTTCAAACTAGCTACCCCTCGCATTAATAGTATTTCGGGCTTCGGCTTTATTGATATCTGTTTATCTATCTTATTTTAAAAAATAACTTCAGATAAACAGAGAGAAACTGTTAGTTTACTTTCAAATTGATTAACTTTACACAGCATATTAAAAAGTTGCGAACAACCCAAGGACAAGCGGATATGAAGCAATTCCCTCTTAAAGCACGAGAAATATCGTCCATTATAAAAAAAATCTCTCACAAGGGTTAAAGTTCCTTTGAATCCCTAAATTTCACAGCGAAAAACTAACTAATTCGGCTCGGATACTTGCTTATTATATTGCCATTCAACAGCTTCTTTTAAGCAGCTCTTTCTAGTGATCTGTTTGGCGTTAATTTTCAGTTAGTCCCAAACAGGGGCCTTAAACTGAATGTTCTTGAACTAATCATTTTTCGGCAGTCTCGAAATCTAAATAAAGGTGAGACCTATGAACATTTGAGTTTGCTGTTCATCATTTGAAACTTCGAATTAGAAAATCTTAAGGAGCTGAGCTGATTTGCGGTGTATGAACTATTCTGGGTTGACTTCAGTCTTAGCGAAGATATCGTCAGTGACCAATCAGTAGGAAAAGATGAAATCGCTTCTAACGAATCATCGTTCTGCGTTAAACCAGTTGTTAAAATCAGTTCATTGGTCTTTTTAAAAGTAACTGCACCAAGCTAAATGCAATTTTCAGCTTTTTAAATCGAGAGTCGGTAAACAGTTCCTTAACGGCGTCGACACTCATTTCGACCAGTTCATGCGCAATCGTATTCCGTTTTTTTTTTTTTTTTTTTTTTTTTTTTTTTTTTTTTTTTTTTTTTTTTTTTTTTTTTTTTTTTAAGGCAGTAACAGCGGATTGTCATTTATTTGGCTAAATTAAAGTCAAGTTCTTAAGCTGCCCAGATGGTACAGTGGTTAGAGAAGCCTGACTGCGATACCGAAGGGCCTGGGTTCGAATACCGGAGAAGGCATGGTTATAATTGTCCGTCCCATCATAGGAGGCGATGGTGGCCCACCTATTTAGTGCGTCCATAATAAAGAGGCCACAACATCTGGTCTTGTATAGATTAATAGGCTGTGTTACACTGCAACTGTTCACAATCTGCCATTGGGAAAAAAAGTCAATTTCTTTCTGGGATGTTGAGTTTTAGACTTGGATTTTAAGGATTCCGGATAGGACAGGATTTTAAGGAAGCCAAAATGATCAGTGCCCCATCTCGCCCATTTTGGCTTTTCATTCTTCAGAAGTTTGCAAGTGTAAGTTGATAATCCTGAGCGCACTTGTAACATATTGGCTTATTACTGAATCCGATCTGCCCATAGCTGAACCTCTGGCACCGAAAGCACATCTTGGGAAACCTACTACAGAGTACCTTGTACCTTCTACAGAAATTTTTGAGATGAAAAATCTGTCTTCCCACTTCCAAGAATTGCTTCGGAGCAGCCACAGGTCGTAGCTCAGGGACTCCGGTTTTCTTCCAACAGAGCTGGACAAGTTTCTTAACGCGAAAATTCTAAAATCCTTTTCTTTAAGATCCTTTAGGATTTGATCAAGATCAGTGTCAGTAGGAAGTCCTCTAATAGCCCCTTTAATTGGGGATTCCGGATTTTTCTGAAGGTATTGGAAGCAAAATACTCCATTTTCATAAAGTAAACTAACACCCTGTCCCGCATAGAGTTCTAGGAAAACGTAACACTGATTTCACTTCTTGTGATTGTAGCGAAGTAACCGTGTAGGTTTTCTTGCCTGGAAAGATTTCTGTTTAATTTCCACGTTACTTCCGGACTTGAGCAGATGACCGGAGGCAACCGTTCTTTCGTAGGCTGAGTAGAGTAGTAACAGAATCAGCTGTTGTATCCACTTCCATCTGGTCTTGATTTCCTTCAGATCAGAGAAGAAATTTTGGTACAGGGCATCTAGATTAGCAACTTTCAAAGAATCAAACTGGTTTGAGACTGGATGATCCGAAGCCGGAATATCATCTGAGAGAGGAAGCAGCTTGACCGGTTTCTTGAAAGAAGTCCAACCGCCTTCCTTGTCCCCCGTCGGTAATATTTTTTATTAGTCCCCCCCCCGCTTCAATGTTCGATTTTTCAAAGTTAGTCTTTTTTTCGGGGGGGGGAGCGTTTTGACATCACGAGCAAGATCTTTAGTTTTAGCAATTGAACAACTTTGACCAGTTGTAGGTACCTTATCCTCAAGAACATTCAGTCTCTTGATTGGGAAATCTTCACACTGGAGAAGCACGATAAAGTCAATTTCCACTTTTTTTGAGTTTCGCATGAATTGGCATTTCACTACGAGCCTGGGTTTACAGACTCTCTATTTTTGCAACTGTGAGCTACATAATGGTCATCCTCTATCTTCGCTTTATGAAAAAATTTCCTTGTGTGATGAAAATTAATCGGGAAATATATTAGATCAAGCATTTCGTAGGAAAGTTGAATCAGATCCTCTATGTCAAAATCGTGAAGTAAATTTATTAACTCCATTTATTCTTTGGAACACTTGAAATCCACAAAAAACGCATACACAACTGACTGTTATATCTTCACAATTCTAGGTTCTTTCAGTATCATGTTTAAAATATTTGTCCATTTCTCGGAATCGTATTTGTATAGTTTAATCCTGGGCATGAGTGTTATGATGTACGAAAATTTGGAATCTTTGGGGAAAAAATCAATAAGACGTTTGAGGAGCCTATTTGCGTATATCTCGCGTTCTGCTTGAAACACTTTTACAGTTTAAAGTTATAGGACTCAGAATTAGAATATCTCCATTTCTATATAAGAAATAATCATTTATATACAAAACACGCGACCTGAAATGCCAAATAAGGCCTGAAATTATAATCTTAACGGCAGCAAATAAATAAGCAATGACAGGGTTCATAGCGGTCCTTACAAGTGCTTATAAGTCCTTATATTTGAAAATAAATTAATAAAGGCTCTTATAGATGCTTACTTTTTCTTTAAAGCCCTTATTTTTTTGTTTTTAGTGCTTATTTTGTGCTTTTTTTAATGAACGCGCATTTTTCCTCCGTACTAAATAAACAACTTTTCTTCTTTATATGGAACGTCGGATGGTGAATCATACTCCCGGAAATAGCTTTTCCCCCTTTCTCTGCATTAACGTAACGTCTGGTGTGCGCGAGAGTACAGATGGGTGCACGTCGTTCTATTGGTCAAAGAATTGCGAAAACAGTAGAAAATTCCGGTACATTCGGTATTCTTTTCCCCCCACCCAAATACTACACTCGTTTGAATTTCTATCAAGATCTTAATAATTTGCATTCTCGTTCCGCGTGGTCAGTTCATATTCGTGTTTATTATGATATATGTTTATTAAAATTATTAAACTATTATATTAAACTATACAATATAGTTGCAGTAGCTGCTGAAGTGTAGATAAACTTCCAAAAATGGGTGTATTTTTATACAGATTAGCTATCTAAGGAATAATATTCAGAATGGCTTAAATAAATAGAAAGTATCGAATAGTCAAAATATTTTTTTTAATCCCAATACATTATACAGTACGGAGGTTCTCCCCTTCACCGCAAAATCTCTAATATTGAAGCAGCGGATTTTTTTTTTTTTTTTTTTTTAATCACTAGTTCAATCTGGATTGAATAGGACTAAGTTTTGCAGTCTACCCAACCCGAAGAATGATTCTATTTCGGAAATTTAAAGCAGTCTGTTCAAAATTAGAAAAAAACACACAGATTAGTAAGTCTCTTTCTTTTCCTTTTTTAGTTCTTTATTCTCCGAATACCGGCAGCTGTTCATTCCGATTGCGTAATATCAGTATGGAAGAATTACGCCGCATGTATTGCGCAATACCGTTTGCGGTATTTTAGAGATAATTAATTTTGATGCAGTCTGATTTATTTGAACCTTAAAAGAGTTTACTGTGCTTTCTAAGCAGAATATTTCTCAGTTCCGTTGGTCTATTTTTATATGATGCACTATCGAAAGTGTCAAAATTCATTTATTTAGCCAGAAATCTAAAGAACACTACATCTCCCCCCCTCCTCTTTTTCCAGTTACGCTCGACTATACGGAATATTCGGCAATTTCCGCGTGTGCGGGGTAGTTAAGCTTTTACTGTTAAAAGATGACTGCATGAAGCAATTTCCCGTGTCCTGATTTCAGAATGTTCCTCTGTTTTACTTTACTGGAATATGTTAAGGCAAAACTGTTATGCATGAAAAATTAGAATGTTCGGAATTTGATTTAAGTTAATTATTTAATATTAATATGAGTGGAAAAATAAATTGATTTATTATTAGGTGCCAACCGAATACAATTTAAATGGCTTATTGTTATTTATTTTCTTATTTGAACTGAAATTTCATCATTAAAGCTTGTAATTTAGTTTAGTTCTGCATAGTTTTTTTCCTCTCATTGTAACTAATTCTGTAATTGAATTGTCATTTTAAATTTTAAAAAAAAAAGTTAAAATTGTTTCCATGGTTGAGGTAATGGTGTATTCTCTTATAAATATTGCTTGCTCAATTTTAAATTGCAAGTCTAATTTTTCTTTTAAGGTATGCAGTTTTTGTATAATATATTAGACAGGTGCTTATTTTTTTCCTTAAAATGTGCTTCAAAAGTGCTTATAGGTGCTTATTTTTTTAACTAAAATGTGGCTATGAACCCTGAATGACATAAACCAATGCACGATAATACAGTAATGTATAAAAACAACAATGCAATCAAATTCATTTATATATCCACAGAAATTTATAACAATATGCTGTAGATGATAAACAACGAAAATCATTTCTAATGGAAAGAAAATACTGATAGTTTCAATCGCTTGTCTCGTGTCCATTATCTTTGCATTCCATGCACTGTCTTAGCTTTTCACCTCCTTTTTAAAATACATTTAAGTTACTTGAAAAACAGTATGATAGCTTTTGCCATTTTTTTGTACACCTAGTTGCTCAAAATGTTTGGCTTACTGCCCCTTTAGAAGGCAAATGTCCTTTTAACTTTCAGCACTGTAATGTCCTTTGAACAAGGATATATCTGATATTTTCAGAATGTAAGCATTGATTAAAATTGCATCAAACGCTTTAGATATTTACTACATTTTCAGTGCCTTGAATAATTAATTAAAAGACATCACTCAACATGGAAACAAAATTGTGACGATCTCATTGCATTTACAGATCTGACAAACAATGTACAGATTCTTACCAAGCACACGGTGTGTTATATATTAAAATAACACGCTACGTGGGTATACTGGATAATATTCCAAGTATGGTCACAGTTTTAGAATACTTGTTACGGAGTTTGTAAGTTCCAATTCCTTAGAATTACTGTTTGGACCAATATGAGTGAAAGGTCGATTAGGTATAGTTTTTGTAAAGTTGAGTGACCGTAATATTTGTTTTCAAACAAATTTTTAAATGATTATTTAAAAAATATTAAGCAATCAGACTCTAAAGCATATTTTAATTTCCCTAATGCTGCTCTTTTTAATGCATCTTTGTTTACAATCGAACCATAGCTCATCCGATAGGCCAGAATGCCTATTTGTAGGCGAGAACATGCATATTGCAAGACTCAGATGAGAAGGGTTAGTTCATAGAGCTTTCCCCCATGAAACAGGAAGGGAGGAGTGATGACGTAGTTATATTGGCGCTGAATGCAAAGACGCAGTTCACAGCAAAGAAATTTAACCATGCCCATATTTGGGAAACTATATTGTTGCCAAACCGTCTGCCACCAGCGAAAGGAAAAAGGAGAGAATTCCTAAATGCTTTTATGATTACTCAATGTAGATATTGCAATTTCAGATAAAAAGGTGCAGTTAATGTCATCTTAAATAGTTTTTTTAATAATTAGTATTTAATGAATGTACACATAATTTTGGATCACTCCTTATCTTCGCGAAATTTTATCATTTCAGGTTTATTCCTGAATCTCCTCGGTGGCTGCTGATACAAGGAAAGGTCAAACAGCTCGAAAAAATACTGATCGAAGGAGCTAAATTGAATGGCCAGGAATTAAAATACGCAATCAAAGATTTGAAAATGTTGACGGAGCAAAAAGTAAGATTATTTTTATTGTTGCGAGTAATCTTCATAATATGAATGTAGCTAAATCAGGTCCATGAATTCATCATTCGAGAGAAACGAATCGTTGGCAAAGTTTTGAAAAGATTTGTTGGGCTGTCACTGACAAAGCTTTTTCACAATTTATTGGCAACAGTATAAGGCTGCCCAATTCTGTCCCAATCTGGCTCAAAGTTGGTAGAATCTGTACACGTTTAGATTCATGTTAATTCAAATGTCCCCATGCCACACTTCTCTACACAGAACTAACAACAAAATTCTGGGGTGAAAATTTTTTCAAAGTTTTGGAAAATAATAAAAATTCAATTCACTTTTAACACAGAAGAATAAACATTCTCTTATCTACTAAAATACGAGTCTAACTTTCCTGGCGTGCTTCCAACAAGAACTCTCAGTGGTTAAACTCTAAAAGGGCTTCGCTCTTTGTTCTCGAATGCTTGCACACTCAGAGATTCAGTTCGTGAATACAGCATATCTCTATTGCTCACATGCTTCCAATAAGAACACTCGTGAACTGTAAACAAGACCAAGGAATCAATTCTTTGAATCAGTTCCGGAGCGAATCCTCCAACTCTAACGGGTACATGTTATAAGGTATTTCTCCCGCCTTCTTAGCATGCCTTAGTGCTCGGTGCGTATTCGAAAAGTCCGTGGTTCGATTCTCAGAAAGGGCATTGCTCATTTTTCATCTCTCCTGCTTAAAATAACCTAATGTCTCTACAGTGGCGCAGAACTAAAATGGTGGTGGATGATGATTCTCCACACACCCAGAATTTGGCGATTGGGTCCCCTAAAAACCCAAGTCGCCCTTTAAAAGGGGAAGTATAAAAGGTATTTCTCCCGCCTTATTAGCATGCCTTCGTAGTGTAGTGGTCTGCAAGCTGGGCGCGTATTCCAGAGGTCCGTGGTTCGACTCCCAACGAGAGCGTTGCTCATTTTTCAAGTCTCCCGCTTCGAAATAACCTAATGACTCTATAAAATTACTTAAAAAATTAAGAAGTGGAGAGATTCGATTTCCCGGATTGTCACAGATCCCTCGCAGTTGCACCATTTCCTTTGGAGAACGAACATGATGGCCCCACTAAACATCTGCAGCGCATTGGTATATATGATAATCCTTTGTGCAACCATAATTTTGAGATGGACAGAGATCATTTGCTAAAATGTTCCTCGTTAAAGGAATAAAACCTATACAGTATTGGTAGGCTAGAGAGTTGATGCAGTTGACATACAGCGGCTTATTTTCTTAATGTGGTCATTTTTCATTCCATTTTCCAGTTTCGATGTAGTTATCGTAAAGAGGTAGTTACCGTTCCGTCTTTTTGCAATTCAACTTTTTTGTTTCTTTCATGCTCCATTCTCATGCATCTTAGATGCATGGGGGCCAAAGACGTATAATCAAGTGCCTTTGCCAACGGACTCCTATTGTTTTGTCCTGCGATTGCTGTCAGAGAAGACGCTGAGTCACTGAGTATGCACAAGATAATGTTTCTAAACAAATCTTTATCAAAGGAATCGTTTACTAAATCAGTGCACAAGAAACGTTCTGATTTCTTCCATAAAACAACATAGAAGTGAAGCATTTTGTTTTTGATTAGTCGACACAAGCAGTTATGTGTCAGCTTTTCAAGCAAATGAAAGCTGATTCACTGAATGATGTATGCAAAAACATCTACCGAAAGCTCGTGTTTAAAACGTATTATAAGCTAGAGGTATCGACAGGCAAAAGAGGAACTTAAAAATTTGATTCACATCAAGAGAATGTTTGATTATTGCTAATGAAGCAGTAAAATCATGCATTATAAAACTAGACAAATGTTCGTAAGGTAGACGAAAAAGGAAATCACACAGCAATTTAAATGTGCGCATCAGAAATTAACTGATTCAGGTCTGTACTTATGTAAGTTCCAATTTAATATGAATTAACATTAAAAACTCTCAAATTAGTTTCTTTCTTATCCAGGACTGTCTTTACATAAATTAAGTTACACAAACAGAGAACTGTTTGAGAACTTCATCATAAAATGTAAAATCAAGGATTTTTCAGCTTTAAGAAGAAAAAAAAAAAAAAAAGAAAAGAAAAGAAAAAAAAAACTAGAAATGCCTGCTTATTCTTTATATTCTTATCGTTTTGTTGTTGCTCTTAATTCATTACCATTGGAGAACTTCTGAGAAATGGCAAACTTACAGCTCTCATATGTGTTGGTCTTTCAAAAGGAGGAAAATCTTCAGTTCATCTTCCAAATTCAAGCGATGCGTTGCTTAACAAATGGAACGATTCTAAAACAAAGTACAAGCCACTGGATGATTTTTTTAATCTTGTGGTGTTGCGTGGCCCCAAAAAGGGTTCGAAAAGTGTTCGGGCGCCAATGTGGTGTTGCGTGGCCCCAACTGCTATGAACTGGAAATTACACAAACTCTTAAGAAGGGATAAAAAACAGTTCGGCTTCTAGCTTTGCTCGGCCTTTCATTATGGGGAAGGCCTTTAATAATGATTTTTTGAAATTTTCAAAGGTATATGTTTGGCCTCCGATTCCCCTAATAAAAATTTACCTATATTCTTCTACCATAGTGAGGCCTGTCCTCTTAGTGCAGACGTGGCAATGGCAAATTTTTGTCTTTCAGGCACAGGGTATAGCTGGAAATGATTTTCGAGACCTTCTAAGAATATCGCCACCGAATTTTTTCCGTCGAAATTGACGTTTGGCTTCATTGATGCTCTCATCGTCTGGACCAGGCATCCAAATCCTTCTCCTTCCAAATCAAAAAATTGAGTTCGCCATTTCTTGTTGTTGGAACTTGTACAGGAGCTTCCATCCAGTGTTTCGGCCATTTCAGTTCGAAAAGTGGTTCGGGCGCCAATGTGAAGTGTTGCGTGGCCCCAACTTGCCCGCAACAGTAGTAGTTACTGCTATGAACCGGAAATTACACAAACTCTTAAGAAGGGTTTAACTCCCTTTTTATTCCACTTTAGAAGTTACTGATGCGTTCACTTGACGCTCACAAAATACGCCGACCCGGCGGTTAACTAAAAATCGAAAAGTACAACTAAAAATAAGTAATCAGGATGAATAAATAGCAAGGTCACTACCTACGAGGCTCTATAAACGTGACTAACTTAACTGCGTTCTAAGATACAGCTGAGATTTCAGCAAACTTTCTGAATAAGAAGTTGAAAGATTCAACTAACTGCCGAAGTAGGCTCACAGGCCGAAACGCGCGGTTCTTAAATTTCTACCTAGCAACCTTCACTCTCGTGAATCAAGAAAGCACACCTACAAACTCGTTTTCCTTCTATTTAACTCAAAAATACTTCCGCTGAAAATTTGAATACTTTGCGCGTTCTACTAAAATTTACATACTCTGGCATTGGCAATTCCAGGGGAAAGTAAAGGCTTGACAAGAAAGATAGCTTAAAATAAATGTTAGTTAAAATAAATATAAACCCTACAATCTTTATTTCTAAAGAGGGATATAATAATGTAATTTATAATTTATGTATTACAAAAATGCATATTTTATAATATGCTCGATAAAAATTGGAGTAGTTAAATCTCTAAATTAAAAAATTTGAATTTAAATTTTTTTTTAATTTCGAGATTTAAATTATTTAAATCTCAATTGGAGTAATGTTCTTAGTTAAAAAAATTGCGATACCATTACAAAGTAAATCGTGAAATTTCGCAGCCTATGATTTACAAAAAATTTCCTGAAAAGTTTGCAACCGGGAAATGTCACCAACGCCAAATAATGTTTTATATGAATTTTTTTTTCGAAAGCGCTAATACAGGAAGGAGGGTAAGTTAGGGTAAGTTATCTCAATGGCAATGCACATAAGAACTACAACTTAAGGGGAGAGATGCCTTGGTACAGGACTTTCTAAGGAAAACTAGCTCGTATTCATATTAAAGATGAGAAAACCATAAACCCATAATAGAAAAAAGGAATCATATAGAAAACGAAAGCTCTCGAAATTCTCTTCATGTTACTCACGTAGGCACATGCTTCTATTTTTGCCATTTTCACTTCCGCAGCTGAAGTAGGTTCTATATAACCTTCGGAGCTGTACTCTTTATAATGTACTCACATTACGCCTAATCACGTTGCTTATAGTTGCGTTAGCCTTTGACATGGTCTTTTATTTATTTTAATTATATCAAATTAGTATGTTTAAATTTTATTTTGTCTTTTTTCAGCCTGGACAAGATCGAAGCACTGTTTTCGATCTTTTCAGAAGTCCTAAAATGAGATGCAGAGTGCTCAATATGATTTACCTTTGGTAAGTATCTGCACTATGATAAAAACTTTAAAAACTCTTTACATATTGTAAAGACCTTAGTTTATTCTAACCAATTATTTTTAGTTCGACTTTCCTTTCCCTCCTGATTACAGTTTCTTGCCAAAATGTAAATTTTAATGACGTAGTATGGAAAATCTACGTGTGTTCAGAAGCAGTATTTAAGCTACGTTTTAAGAGCTCGTGAGGAGCAGTAGCGGAGTCAGTACTGAGTTTATACTGCACATTTGAAACAGCTCTCTAGTTGGTGTCCCTGAAGGACTATTGATTTCGTTTTGCGATTTTGCGTTGGTTCACTATAAATGTACGTTTCACTTTTCAAATTGTTGACACCACATGTTAGAGTCTTGCATTATATTTGAAGAAATTAAATAATGAAAAATCTGCATAAATGTATGCCTATTTCTCGCATTGCGATAAAACAACGGTACCTAGAGCCATCGAATTTTGTATGACGTCATCCTCCTACGAATATGGGCATGTGGAAGACCCAATTTGAAATTTGGAATTTGTTTTATGATCGATTTCCTGTTTTGTAAAACTTTAACGAAATTTTTAGTATCAAAGTCAACGATTTGAAAGCGAGCCATGGCAACGTTGTACAGAAAAAACATTTTTATCTCCAGCGCGCGAGACGCTGTATCGGAAATTCTAAAGATATGCTGAATTTAAAACTATTTTGCTATATTACTGTTGAACTGAATTTTGTGGTTTAAGTGCGAAGAACGTGATATACAGTCAAAAGTCGTTAATCCGGACTCGTCGGGACTTCGGCGATTCCGGATTATCGATTTTTCCGGATTATAGATCATCAGTTTAAATCTCGTAAGATGGCATGCAGAAATTCTAAAATTAAAAATATGAAACCGTAATTTATGAAATAAAGAACAATTATGATCTAAAGGGTATCAAAATTTACAAAAAAAAAAGCTTAATATTTATTTGTTTACTTTATTAAACATTTCTTTCAATGTAAGTTGTTTAAGTTGCTTCATTTTATGTGATAATACTTTCTCTTTAATTCTATATAAACAGACATAATTTTTTGTTCAGTTACAAAGTTCCGCTGTTCAAGTCCCGTTAATTGCTGTGCCGAGAATACCGACTAACTTGTCAATCGAAATTTTTTCGTTTTCACTAACCTCTCTGTCACATTCTTCATGTCTTTATCCATTTTTTGCAGCAATTCCACTTTTTGTTTGATGGACATCGAAACATACTTTCGTTTTGTACGATCCTTTGGGGAGCTCCAGAATCGGAAATTCTATTTGACATAATCGAAAGTTCAAGTTTACTTTTATAAGTATTGCTCTTACAGTCTGCAAAAAATAATAAGCCGGATCCAATTCGAAGATTAAAGAACAACGCAATCATCAACATTAACTGAAATAGATAATTAGATAATTTTAGCTTATACCGGCCGTTATACATAAAACGCGTACGCGAAAACGTATTCTGCACTTGCGCACATGCATATGCGCAGTCGTAAAAGGTCTTACGCGCACGCGTGAACGCCTATGCGCATGTGTGAACGCGGCGCATGCGCAGAAAGTTTTTAGCTTTGAGGTCCGGATTATAGATCGTTCCGGATTATGGGTGTCCGAATTAACGACTTTTGACTGTATAATATATAAAGGTAACAGACAAAATGTTAAAAAAAGTCCCTTTAGACGTAATTTAAAATCTGAAACCTTTCAGATTTTTATTTTATTTTATTTTAGTTCAGCCATAATTGTGAGCACCGAGTGCGTGCATCCTGCTACGTTAGTTCAAATAAAAACGTTATTTAAACCTTCTTCTGTAGTATCTGTTCTTCAAAGATATAGCGAGAATTTGCTGCTTAGTCTTCTACGTAGGGTTTATTGTGAATGCTCCCAGAAAGAGAGACTCTACAGTACAACCTATTATCTTACAAAATCAGCAGAGACACTCAGCATAGTCTGTTACTTTAAAATAGGCATTTCAACGTCTTAGCAACTCTCCGCTCATTTACCTTCGTAACGTGTGCTGTCATTACCGTGCAGAAGGAATTAGGAGATTTCAGTTAATTAGAACATTCGACTTTTTTACCGCAGCAATCGTTGCCATGGTTATCAGACATGGTTTAGAGGAAGAAATGGCCTTGAAGTGCCTAGTGTATCTTTATTATAGGTTAAAAAAGATGGTAATGTTGTGGAAAGTTACTACAGAAGCACTGAAAAAGAAGTTCCATACTACTGTAATTAAAACGTATCGCTAATGGTTCAATAAAACACAAGATTTCAATTTATTGGTGAATATGAAAGTAGTAACTAAGGTGAGTAATATGAGTATATTTTCAGATCTAGAGATTCTAGGAAAAAAATCATACAAGCAATTACACGCGTCAGACGAGACATTTTTGCCAGAATGTGGATCGAAACTAAATATCGCTAATACGTGTAGAAAGTGAAATTTTCTAATTTTGATCACGATTTTTTTGAGCGAATGAATTAAACAAAAACACTTTCAACCCATCTCATATAATACATACTTCGCAGAAACTTTTCTTCAGGCGAACTTTGGCAACTCATTTTGTAGCCAAATTTAGTGACATTTTGGTCTGGCCCTGTATCACCGTAATAAGCATTGCAACTGAATAAACGTAATTGACCACTATGTTAGCTGTAACCGTGATTCCGCTCTCGTATTGCTTGACCGGTTGAAAATTATTTAAGGCCGAAGTCGTTTATTTATTATTGTTGCGAATTTTAATTCCGCGTGAACTGAGATAAATCCGAGTTAGCTTTCTCTTTAAATGCGCTTTGCATTGCGTTGTGTTTAACGTTCTTAGTATAGTACAACTCCAATTATCCGAACCACTTGGACCGGACCCTATTCGGATAATCAAAAATTCGGATAAATGGAATTTTCCGAAGAAAGGGTCTACGTACACTTTAATTAATTATTGTATGTATATGTTAAAAATAGGAGAAAAAAACTGTTTTTAAAGAAAGGATGTTTTAAATAATTAAAATGGAAAGGGAAGACTTTTACGTATATGTTATATAGCGTACTGTACAGTACTTACAAGGGCTGAAAGTCATTACTTTCTGAACATCTCGGTCAAAGCAAGCTGTTTGACTGTCTTCCTCCGTTTTCGAGTAGCCAAGTCGCGCATCCGCTCGATAATGCATGTGGTCACACTCGGGCTGACGCTTCATCCACTTCAACGCAGTTTCAAGGCTGGAAGACGCTTCACTAGCTGATGGTCCCGTTTGTGTTTTAACTTCACTATTAAGGTCATCTTCTTCTTCGACACTTTCTTCTCTCACACTTTCAATAAGTTCATCATCATTTAGGATTTGAAACCCGGGGTCTGAAAAATCACAAACCATTCATTCTACTGCATCCTAAGCACTAACTTTTGAACATCCAGGAATTTTCAAAAGAATGATTCTTAATTCCTCAGGTAACACATCATCTTCATTTTCTCCTGTCTCTTTCCTTTCCTTTTCTCTAGCTTCTTTTTTCCATTTTCTCATTTCTCTCTCTTCTTCAGATGATTCTGAAAAATATTGAAATTCTGAAAGGGATTCGGATAGTCGAAGTTCGGATAATTAAGGTAGTACTGCAGTTTGAAGTTCGGATAATTAAGGTTGTACTGCAGGTACTACTGATTATACTGTGTGATACTGTGAACACTTGTACGAATATTTCTGTGAAAAGTTCTGGTATTCCGAGTTCCGATATATTTCTTTTGATAAAAATAGATTTTTAATAATCTATTATCGGAATTCAATCTATTACGAACTTGTACGCAAGCAGCAATATACATTTAAGAATCATTGTATTTTTTTTTTTTTTTTTTTTTTTTTTTCCAGGATAGTAAATGCCTTTATGTACTATGGTTTATCTTACAACACTAATGACCTTGCTGGAAATCCGTATTTGAATTTCTTCCTTGCCGGAGCACTAGAGATTCCAGCATACGCGTCTGTGTTCTTTGGTATAAAGAAATGGGGCAGAAGACCAACGCTGACCTTTTTCATGCTGGTTGGAGGCTGTGCATGCGCAGCTATTATAGCCGTCCCAGAAAGTAAGATATAACTAATTAAGATAATAATTTTCGATGAAACATGTTCTGTTCCTTCTTTATACTCTCGAACAGCTTAAAATTATGTGGCATACAAGCCAAAAAATAACCTTGCAAATTGTTTTATGGTTTTAACATAAAGTACATGTGTAACATGCATTTTTTACTTCCTTGTATGAAGTAAAAAGGAGGTATTGTAATCACGAAAATTTTCAGGCATATTTCAAAGAAAATATCCATTTTGACAGCTATCGAATGCAATTTAAAGATATTTCTGCGTGACATCTGTACGTAAGGACAGAATAAAAGATTTCCCCCCCCCAAAAAAAAATTATGAAACTGATTTAAAATGAATTCTGAAGAGAATTTTTCGTGGAGTCTGTACGTACGTACGTATGATTCTCGCATAACTCAAACACGAGTAGCCTCAGAACATTGAAAATTTGAATATAGGACTGCTATAACATGTAGATGTGCACCTCGTATTATGATTACAATCGGCCGCACCAAACGTATATAAATATATGTATACATATGTATATATATATATATATATCCTCTCTGTTAATCGGCTCAGTGATCTCAGTTTCTTTACTCTTATATGTTTGTAAGTTGTGCATAAGTTGTTTAAATGCAGCTAAGCCTAATTGAGTTTGCGATGGCAGACATGTTTGTTTACATTTTAAACTCGGCAATATAGGGAATTTGTTGCCAATCTGGAGAAACTAAGCTTCGCAACAACAAAGAAAATGCCTTCTTTTATTATTGCGAATTAAATTATACCTTATCCATTCTGGAAATTAATCGAGGAAATAAGTTTTAAGTTTTAATACAGATATTTTGAGTTTTTATGTATTTTTGCCTTGTCGCGAAGTGAGAACTGAATTAATTGAATGAAAAATACTGAATCGTCTGTTAAAAACGTTTTTTTTTTTTTTTTTTTTTTTTTTTTTTTGGTTCGTTTGTTTGTTTGTTTGTTTGTTTGCTTGTTTGCTTAATTTCTTTTATACATCGTTCTAGATTTATTATGGTATTTGAATAAAGCATGTGGCAACGATTAGCTAATTCTTCAAATGTATAAATTTATATGCATTCTGAGTTATAATATGATTGAAATATAACACTATTAAGTGAACCTAGCGCCTAGATATAGTGAATAACAAATATAGTGAATTTTAAAGAGTGCGTTTATTCTATTGAAGTTTATGCGCTATCGGCGAAGAAGATTTTATTCAATCCAATAGGTTTAAATGACATGCAAGAAAAAATGAGTATAATTTAATATTCCGTACAAGGAAGTCATGCAGTGTACGCATTAGATTTTTTTAGATTAGCTTTTTGCAAATGCTGTTTCCAGAAGTGTGGATTTCAGTAGGTTCAGATTTCGCAAATAAATTAAAATGCTTTGCATGTTAAAAACTAAAAGTATTTTTGATGCGTTTATGTTATTCCAAATTTTCTTACGTATTTACTTGATTTATTCATAATAATTTTTAAACTATTTTGCACTGTTATGCAGGTGCAGGTATAAGTAGTCGAGACACCAGAATATCACCATTGGTAGTACAAGATTAAATCTCTCCGCACTAACTGTGCAGTTCCGCGCCAATTTTGAGGAACACCCCGGAACAGTTCGAGGGTTTTTCACCCCTCAACACTAAACACTAATCTCTTAGAGGACTTCCGGCTTGCTGTGATTTTGAATGCTCCCTTGCCGCACAGATAAGCAACAAGAACTTTCTATTGCAGTTTTTCCTTATTTATTGTATATTCTACTTAATTTTAAAACTATGATCTTTAGAGTATTTGTATACATTTATTTCTTATGTTACATTATCAATTCTTAAATTCCTAGTGGATAGATATTGAAATTGTAGATATAAGTTGAGTAGAACCAGAAATATAGGTATATAACCTTCTATCGGGCTTTGACGACAATCTTTGCCCTCCCCCCCCCCGTTGGCAGAAATTGGCGAATTTTAATCAAATTGGCGATATTTCCAAAAAATACGTTTCGAAGCGTCTCGCTTTAGCACAGGTTATGTTTAGCTGGAGTAATTGGTTGGCATCTGCTATACACTATTAGCAAAGTATCTTTAGATTGGCGACTAAAGACACTATCGAAAAGAAGCACAAGTTACAAATCTGAAAAATAAATTTCTTATTATTATTACCTGAGTCCTTTCGTCTCACAGAAACAAGAATCTGCATATAAAGCCTTAAAGATTGATTACTTTAAGAACTACCTCAATGAGCTAAATAAAAATTTCTACCGTAATGCTGAAACAAATCATGTTGCAAATTTTATTGAAATTTCAAACTATGAAGTTATTCCAGAAGAGTACTTTTCCAGAGACTCTGCAGCACATCTGTTCGGATTTAAAAGATTCGGAATCTGTGACATTTCTGACTCAAAGAACGAGCTCAACTCAGCTACTACGTTTCTCCCATTTCTTCTTTTTGATCATGTACGTAATTATATTTAGAAGTACCTTATTCTATTTTCTCAACTCTATTTATTTGTTTTTTCCCTTATTTTATTTATTTTTTATTTTATTTTATTTTTTTGCTATTCTGCAAGTGTTTCTCGTCGTGAAGTGGCTAGAGTAAATTCCGGTATAGTATTGAAACAGAGCATCCAAAAAGGGATATAAATTTAGAAGCAGCTTTTATGTAACAGTAAATTATGTAAGTAAATGTAAAGTTAATGTAAAGCAATTCACACACATAAACACGAGTGAAAAAAGAATAAAACTCTGTTTCCGCTCTGTTCCTTTAGTAAACAAATTTCCGCTTGTCTGGGCTTACATCAGTAACAAATCAGTAATTCTTAACCAACCAGTACTAAATACATTTCTTTTGACTTATGAATACTGTTTAAAAATTTATCTTTTGACATGGAAAGAAATTTCTGTTTAATTTTTCGTCGTCAACATAGAATTCACATTCCTCAGCAATTGATTATGCTTGACTGAAGCCTGTTATTCGTCGACAAGCGATGAAAAAAAATGTATCTACTGCACGTGCTTGATCTGCTAAAGCGAGATACTACATACATACGATTTTCCTTGAACCTTTTTCTCTCTCTCTCAGAAATGCTTTAACATTATGTTGTGAGCAGTTGTCAGTTGGTTCAATTATATCAATAATAATTATAATTATCACAGGTAACCAACTGGCCATACATACGTACAGACTCCACGGAAAATCCTCTTCAGAATTCATTTTAAATCAGTTTTATAATTTTGTTTGGGGGGGGGGCAGTCTTTTATTCTGTCCTTACGTACAGATGTCACGCAAAAACATCCTTAAATTGCATTCGATAGCGGTCAAAATGGATATTTTCTTTGAAATATGATGCCTGAAAATTTTCGCGATTACAATAAGATGCACACAGGAATAAGATGCTCACAGGTAACCAACTGGCCATGAGCATTTTATTCGATAATTAATATTTATATTTCTTTCGTTTTTATTTGTGACCATCTTATTCGATAACAAATTATTGATAATTATTTGATCATTTATTTTATATTATTCCCCGGGAGTGATTTTGGTCATCTGTTATATTCCTTTCCTGTTAAGGAGAATTTACCTTCTCTCTCTTCCTCGTCTGTTACTTCAAATATTTACAGCTAGTTATCTCGTTATATGAGTTGTTATTTATTTTAATGAACTTTCAATTTTTTCTTGTTCATCTGCCTTTCTTACTAAGAATATTTTTACAAATTCGAAGCATGCAAAAATGTAAAAGGATTTTGCTATGAAATTTAATTTAAAAACTCTTGATGCTGTTTTTTCCTAATAATTTCCAAATGCATTTGGAACTCCCTTTCTGGAATGAATACTTCTACGACTATCGATATATTGACTTTCAGAATGAGCAGCTAACCGCTAAATCCTTACTTTTATAACATTCCTTTCTTCAACTGAGCTGAGTAGATGAAACTCTTCGCTTCTTCCTCGGTCTATTGCTCTGGTGATGACAACAGAATGGAAGCTTCATTAATCATCCATAAAGTTCTAATATCGAAGATTCTTTTAGAGCGAAATTTAAAGTGGTGTTTATCATTTGACTGATTACATGACAGTTCATTCTTCTGTTTCCTTCGGTCAATAAACCAATGATTTTTACTTCCTTGTACGAAGTAAAAAGGAAGTATTGTAATCGCGAAAAGTTTCACGCAACATATTTCAACGAAAATATCCATTTTGACCGCTATCGAATGCAATTTAAGGATGATTTTGGGTGATATCTGTACATAAGGTGATCTGTACATTTTTGCGTGATATCTGTACATAAGAATAAAAGACTCGTTTCCTCTAAAATAATTATAAAACTGCTTTAAAATGAATTCTGAAGAGAATTTTTCGTGGCGTCTGTACGAACGTACGTACGTACGTATCTCGCATAACTCAAAAAAAACGAGTAGCCTCAGAACGTTTGAAATTTTGTAACATAGGACTGCTATAACATGTAGATGTGCACCTCGTATTTTGGTTGCAATCGGCCGCACCAAACATATATAAATATATTTATATATTACCACTCTGTTACCCGGCTCAGTGATCTCAGTTTCTTTACTCTTATATGTTTGTAAATTGTACATTTTTGCTTTTAGAAAATGATTGAATTATGTTGTTCTTATCTTCCGGTTAAGGTGTTTATGCCTTTAGTAAATCTCTATGCAATATTTTTAGAATTATCAACAATTTAAAAGTTGTTTAAGCGCAGCTAAGCCTAATGAATTTTGCGATGCCGGACATGTTTGTTTACATTTTAAACTTGGCAAAATAGCGGATTAGTTGCCAATCTAGAGAAACTAACAGGGTTGCCACTCAAACAGGAGAATGAAATTCCCTGACTTTCCAGGTTTTCCAGGTGTGTTTCGAGAAAATTCCAGTCTATCCGCATAATGTACTTTGGCTACGCTAAGAGGTAAATTAATTATGGTATTACTTGTATTGTGTAGCAAATTCACTTAATTATTCAATAAATCCCAGAAGACATTTATTCTTAATTATTCTTGGTATACTTTGTTTGATAATTTTGTTTACTTTTCCACTTAAGAAACTTAATAAAATTTAAGATATATAAATTGGATAACAAATGTATGTTTTAGTTAATTATTACTCATGATCATCACCAGTTCAACACGAGGCTAATCCGGCCCTTATAATCACAACGCAATGCTAAATAGTTAGGTTAGATTTTAGGTAAATTTTAATTTGTGTGAAGTATGTTCTTAAAAAGCACCTTAACACTTGAAAACACAAGTATAATTATAATAGTTGTTGTTTTTCCATTGAAAGATTGAGATTAGAATCTTCCCAATCTGGAATAAAATGAGGCTTTTTTTTGCAGACATTCTGCAGCTAAACGAAAGAAAAGAATCTATTTTTATAAATTGAGGTATTTTATATTATTTCGCAGCATACATAAGGAAAAAATATGTGCATTAAATTTCGTGATCGTATGTCAGCATACTGCTAGAATTAATTTCAAGATTATGCCAGAGAAAATTTCCTGAAATTTGGAAATATTATTTACTAATAATAATAAATTTAGAGGGAAGAAGCATCATTAAATTATATGAATAACATAAAAATAAACGATAATTACTTAAAAATTGAATTAGAATAATCAACGATATTTTAGCGAATAAGTTATATTACATGATTAGCCTAGATGACAGATTACTATTTTTTTATTTTACTGCAAAATGGCAAGGTATTTATTAAAACAAAAAAAAAAAAAAAAAGTTTTTAAAAGATTTGCGGTGTAAATTCTAGTATACGGTAAGGCTTTGGCACGATTTTGAAAATTGTCGCCAAGACCCAAATGACCCGTTTACTGCGCATCATCATGTCGCCAAATCCCATTGTACCATACATGGAGATATTCTAACCAAGAACGTCTATGCAAAGAACTCTAATTCTTTGGTCTGTAAAGAAGAAGAAAAGTTCCATACAAGTAAAATGCTATTATGCCGCTAGAATGCGGAGGGAAAATATGCCAAGGGATTTGGCGACGGAACCTGGCGGCCAGAATTTCCCTCTCCGCGATGTGTACCGGAAATTGAGAAACGTTCTTTGACAAAAAGAAAGCTACGAAAATCCGTTTTTAAATTATTGCGAAAAATCCAAGAAGAAAGGTTTTATCAAAGGACGTTTCTTCTTAGATTTTTCGCAATAATTTTAAAAACGGATTTTCGTAGTTTTCCCCCCCCCCTGAAAATTACTAACCCATGAATTAATTTACTTGCGCCAAAAAATATTTTCTTTTCCTTTAGAGTTTAACCACTTGCGCTAAGAACTTCACGGTTGCGGTGCCGTGCGCTACAATATAGCAAGCGGTAAAGTGTCTCATTTACGCCGCTCCGCATCTGCGAGTGCAATCCAGAGCTGTAACTCGAGAAATAAACAATCTCGTTGTTAGGCGAGTGTGCACCATGTTATTTTCATTTTTTGCGATAAATGCTTATCGACGTGGTGTTCACGTCGCTCGCAGTTTGAGACAAAAAACATCTCGACGTGCGTGGCACGTCTTTTAGCGCAAGTGTTGTTAAAGAAAATTTTAAAGGATATTCATTTAATGAACTCTTGATAACGTGACCTTCGAAACTTCCACACGGTTTCGAGCTTTGGCAGCAGATATATCACGCATGCACAGCTGTTCCCTCTATGATGGAAAGGAGCCACGTCTGTTGCAGAGAGGTTTTCCTTCTTACAATACATTCTTTGATTCTAACCTCCATGGTACCGTATACTAAGATTAAGCCCATTTTGTTTTATACGAGAACAGGTACTTTCTTTAGTTCATGCACTGCACATGCGATTCTCGAGAATACTGGAAACCAAAAGTTGCGGGAAACTTGCTTTGCCTTTCTAAAAGAGAATCAAATTGGAGCTGTGAAAATTGCTCTATGCCAGCTGCCCGAATGACACTCACGTGATACGCAATTCGCCAAAAAAGTTATCTCTTCCGACGTCGGCGCAAAAATCGCTTTTTTTGGCGGGATCATTGTATGAACTTCCCTGACTTTTCCAGATTTTGACAAAAATACTTAAATTCCCTGACTTTTCCCTGAATTTTTTGGTCAATTTTCGAATTCCCTGACTTTTCCCGGTTCTCCCGGTTTTCCAGGTAGCGTGGCAACCCTGAACTAAGCTTCGCAACAACATAGATAACGCCTTCTTTTATTATTGCGAATTAAATCATGTGTAATCCATTCTGGAGATGATATACTGGGTTGACAAGAAAGTAATTTCGGTTTGCGCAAATAGGTTGTTATTGTTATTACTGCTCACTTGTCTGACCTATAGTCAACCAAAGCCCACTAAATTCCTCGGCGTGTTATTTTATCTTAATTTAAGGTAGCGTTATGTTCGTTTTGTTACTCTTATATCAATTTGATATTTTTATTCTTTTTAGATTTGGCAGCTGACACTTTTAGATTACTACAAAAACAAATTTCGTGTATTTTTATTTAGTTTATTTACAGTTTTAACATGGAGTACAAAAATAAACATTTTCGAGATATTTCCCTTTTTTATGCTCATAAAGGTAAGAAAGCAGATGAGGCTCACAAAGAAATATGGGAAGTTAATGATGTTGACATCTTCTTACAGCGCATGCGTTGGAATTGCTTTAAAAAACTTCGTTCACGAGATTTTTCAATGACTAACGTTCTCACCGACCTTCTTAAGTTGATGATGACAGAATTCAAGCTATACATGAAACTAATCGTCATATAACTGTAAGAGATGCAAAAAGGTTAAATGTATCCCACACAGGAATTGAAAATTACATAAGATGTCTTGGATTCGTTAAGATGTTCGATATTTGAGTTCCACACGAATTGAAAGAAATTCACGTAACACAACGAATCAATGTTTGGGATGCGTATTTCAAACGCAATGTAGTAGACCCTTTCTTGAATTATCATTGGGGATGAAAAATGGATCGTCTACAATAACATTACCTCGAAAAGAACATGATCCAAACATGATGAATCAGACAAATCAAATAGAAAGCGAAACTGCAGAAGATCATCTGTCAATTTGGTGGGATTACAGACGCGTTTTATATTTTGAGCTGTTTTCAAGCAACCAAGCGATCAACTGAGATGCTTACTGTCAACAGCTTATGAGACTATAGGACGTAATCAAAGAGAAAAGGCCAAAATTGGCAAATCGCAAAGGAATCGCGTTCCACCACAACAATGCGAGGTCTCACACATCTTTAGCAACATGTGCGAAATTGTTGGAGATCGTTTGGGAAATAATTCCCATCTCTCGTATAGTCCGATCTTGCACCATCGGATCATCGTTTATTTCAAAGTTTATAAAACTTCTTAAATGGTAAAAATTTCAGTAATAACAATTATAAATCATCGGATCATCGTTTATTTCATAAACCTTAAAATCGTTTATTTCAAAGTTTATAAAATTTCTTTAATGGTAAAAATTTCAGCAATAATAATTATAAAGTATTTCTCCCGCCTTCTTAGCATGCCTTCGTAGTGCAGTGGTCAGCACGCTGGGATCGTATTCCAGAGGTCCGTGGTTCGATTCCCTGCGAAGGCGTTGCTCTTTCTGTTTCAGAAATAAGCTACTGACTCCACACAATAACCTCTAATTGTGCTTAGTTAAGTTTTTTGTTTATTAACACCAGAAATTCTATCAGCATGGAATCATGAAGTTACCAGAAAGAAGGGAAAAGGTCATCCAACAGAATGGAACGTATTTTGGCTGATTAAAGTTCAATTTTTGTATAGAAAAATTGAATTCAATTTCAAACTTAAAAGCTGAAATTACTTTCTCTCCAACCCCAACATCTCGAAACAAATTTTTCAAGTAAATCATCCTATGAATAAGGTTAAAGCAACCTTTTTGAATGTCTTAGTGGCTTAGAGCAATTTTAGAGCAAAATCGTCCTATGTAAACGAACTCTCTTGTCAGGTAACCAATTCGCAAAGAAAACTTATAGCATCGCCAAGCAACTATGTCACATCTTACAGAGAGGCCTTTTTAAGGAAATTGTCGTAGGTCTTTGGCTCCAGTTTAATAATGAATCAAATGAAATCATTCAACCCAAAAACGAGACAATCGAAACTTCTCTTGTGCAAAGTTAGATTGTTTGATTTGAACTCTAAAACTGTGGCTTGAACGTTTGGAAGTCTCGTTCAGTATTTTAGGTCCACCAGCGGCCGAGCGGTAAAGTCGCTACACACTGGTAGTTCGGTCCGAGGTTCGAATCCCGCGAACGGGCTGGCTGCATGGGCGTTTTCGTGGTTTTCCCCATGTGTAAGTATACGACCAGTTTCCCTGAAAAGTCCTCCACGAAGACATTCCTCCCTTAGCAGATAGCCCCGAGCTTTGCCATAATCACACACACACACACGTTCAGTATTTTATTGTCTGTGGGTAGTTGCTTACTTTCAGCTGTGATTGAGGGCGTTAAGTGTTAGTTAAGGACTTGCGCTTTCAAAACCATCAGACTGAACGGTCACGGCATCGCAGATTATAAGATAACTGCCATTTTATAATGTTCCTAAAATGAGAGAGTTAAGCTTTAAAAATGAGACGGCTAAAAACTATATTAAGAACTTATAAATGTTATTTGATTATTCTAACATAATTTAATGTATGTATGTTTGATTTAATTTGATTCCAGTTTATGGGCGTAGGTTTAAGCAAGGCTTTTGGAGCCAAATGAATGGCTTTGATTCGGTAAAACAAAAGTGTAGGAATTTTATAAAATTCATTATTCAAAATAAAAGTGGTGATTTTTTATGAGGAAAGGTAAATGGCTCAAGCAGCTACGCTTGTGTCATGTGCGTATTGGATTCTAGAACTGTTTGTCATAGTTTTGTATCGGTATATAAATTGGTCTTTTTCTTTCATTTTCTTTTTTTAACCCAAAGGGTGGAGCTCAGAAGGTTATTAGTTTTCAAACGTATTTTGGCGTTCACTATTAACGGCGAATCACTTTTTAAAATTTTGCCCCAGAACATCGCCTTGTTTAATTATATTTAAAGAAACTTAATAGAACTGCATGACTAGGTTTCTCCACCTTAGCATCAGTTCGAATCTTCTTCCCGCGTAAAATCGCTGAACACATGTTCGGTCCGAGGTTCGAATCCCGCAAACGGCTGGCTGCATGGGCGTTTTCGTGGTTTTCCCCATGTGTAACGTGTATACGAGCCAGTTTCCCTTGAAAAGTCCTCCACGAAGACATTCCTCCCCTTAGGCAGATAGCCCCCGAGGCTTTGCCATAATCACACACACACACGTTCAGTATTTTATTGTCTGTGGTAGTTGCTTACTTTCAGCTGTGATTTTGAGGGCGTTAAGTGTTAGTTAAGACTTGCGCTTTCAAAACCATCAGACTGGAACGGTCACGGCATCGCAGATTATAAGATAACTGCCATTTTATAATGTTCCTAAAATGAGAGAGTTAAGCTTTAAAAATGAGACGGCTAAAAACTATATTAAGAACTTATAAATGTGATTTGATTATTCTAACATAATTTTAATGTATGTATGTTTGATTTAATTTGATTCCAGTTTATGGGCGTAAGGTTTAAGCAAAGGCTTTTGGAGCCAAACATGAATGGCTTTGATTCGGTAAAACAAAAGTGTAGGAATTTTATAAAATTCAATTATTCAAAATAAAAGTGGTGATGTTTTATGAAGGAAAGAGTAAAATGGCATCAAGCAGGCTACGCTTGTGTCATGTGCGTATCTGGTATATTCTAGAAACTGTTTGTCATAGTTTGTATCGGTAATATAAAATTGGTCTTTTTCTTTTCATTTTCTTTTTTTTAAACCCAAAGGGGTGGTAGCTCAGAAGGGTTATTAGTTTCAAAACGGTATTTTGTGGCGTTTCACTATTAACGGCGAATCACTTTTTAAAATTTTGCCACCAGAAACATCGCCTTGTATTAATTATATTTAAAGAAACTAAATAATGAAGAATCTGCATGACTGCATGAATGTTTCTCGCACTTGAAAAAAAACGACGGTACTTAGAACCATCAGACTTCACATAATGTAATCTTCTACTCGAACGTGGCCCACCAGCGGCCGAGCGGTAAAATCGCTGAACACAGGTAGTTCGGTCCGAGGTTCGAATCCCGCGAACGGGCTGGCTGCATGGGCGTTTTAGTGGGTTTCCCCATGTGTAACGTGTATACGAGCCGGTTTCCCTTAGAAAGTCCTCCACGAAGGCATCCGTCCTCTTAGGCAGATAGCCCTCGAGGCTTTGCCATAATAATACACACACCACCCGAACATGGACACCTGCAAGTTCGAACTTTGAATTTCGAATTCGTTTTATTATTTATTTCATATTTTGGAAACCTTTAACGAATTTTTTAATAACAAGCTCAACGATTTCAAAGCGAGCAGTGGCAACTCTATACGGAATAAAATATTTTTAGCTTCAGCGCGCGAGACTGTTTATCGGAAAGAAATGCTGTTTCAAAATATTTTGTGAAATCACTGTTGAATAGAATTTTATGTGGTTTAATAAATAAAGATAACACATAAAACGTTAAAAAACACCCTTTTTGGCGTAATATAAAATATGAAAACTTTCGGATTTTTCTTTTTTAATTGCTTGAATAGCATAATGGTAACTACAGTATCAAGTAATACATCAACTGTGATTTAGCCAAATATCTAGAGAAATTTTAAAGCTCAACAACAAAAAAAGAGAGGGGAAGTAAGGAAAGGTGGAAATTCACACCAGACTTTGAAAAAAAAAATGCAAATACCTTTGCGCAAGTTAGCCACGCCGGTCAGACCATTCCCATTCGCCCTTGAACGTACTTTATTCTTGTTATCCTGCTAGTAGTTTAGTAACAGCTCCGCTCTTTCTGCTTTCAGTAGCGTTTCCACCAGTTTCTTTCACGTTAACAACCATTTTCTAAGGTTCTAGAATCTAAGAGAGGAGTACATCGAATTTCGATCCATTTAACATTTACATTAAGTATTCTTAAATTCATGACTTTAATATATTTAATTTTTTTAGGTATTTCATGGCTGTCAACGGCATTCGCCATGATTGGAAAATTTTGTATATCGGGTTCTTTTGGCATTCTTTACCTATACACGAGCGAACTCTTCCCGACAGTTGTCAGGAATGTTGCAATTGGTACATGTTCGATGTGGGCCCGTGTGGGTTCTATTTTGGCACCCTTTGTCAAGGAACTGGTAAGTTAGTATTTATAACTGACCTTTGATGTTAAAATATACGTCTTGTTTCTCCAGCCTAGGTTATTTTTAAGGGTAAAATTATAAATAACTGGCTAATTAACATAAAATTCTCTGCGTAGTTTTAGAAGTGTATTAAAAAATCTGCAATCTTCGTCATACCAATTTTGGTTTAATCCTAGTATCCGGTGCACACGGGATTTGACTAATTTTGGCGACTTTATGATGAGCAGTAAAAACGGGCCATATACGATGAGTAGTTCATTCAAAGAAAATATGTAGTTAAACATATTATATACTATGTATATAATATATGTACTATGTGTGTATATACATATACTATGTGTGTATAATATATATATAGACGTTCTTTTGATCATTTTTGGTGTTGGCGATAATTTTCAAAGTCGCGCCAAGGCTGCACCGGATACTAGGATTTTACCCCAATTTTTGAGATTGGGATCAAATTTATTTTGCAGAACATCAAAACAAGCAATTCATTTTTCTTCTATCGGATGTTGTGCTTAAAACTGTGCTTTGTTGTGACAATGTGTCAAGCATGAATTTCAATCTATCATTCGCGACGGATAAATTAGCGCTTTCGGGACTGCATTTTTTGAAATAAACTTTTATCGTTATCATACTAATATTGTACCTGTTATGCAATATTAGCATGATAACAATAAAAGTGGTATGGTAAATACGTGTAAGTTTATTGCCTGTAAAATTTACACCAGAATTTTAACTAATGAGCGTTTTTACAATGGCCGGCAGTGAAATTAAATATTTGTACTACTCCGTATAATATTAGTATATGTACCACTTTTTTTAATATATATTTAACGGTAAAAGTGTTAGCCATTTCTTTTTCGATTTACTGGAAAACTGGTAAACAATGTCTATTACACACCTTATTTTCTTCAAATTACGTTTGTTCGTCTTGATAGTAAAATTCGGTAGTCTTCAGCTATACAAGGCATATGAAGTTTGATTGGATTAATTTTTATGGCTTCGATCGCAAAAAAAGAAGTTCGTTTGGATGCAGATATTTGCTTGCTAGCATCTCATTTCGCCGAACAGGTTTAAGGGGGGGAGTTTCAATGATGGGGGAATTAAACGTAGATATCTAACAAGAAGTAAGCTGACACAAATTTTATGTTTTGTGTTCTATCTAATATTTACTTATTTAATTTTTTATGTATCTTAAGTGACGTAATCATTAAGTGGCGCGTATTTGAAAAACTCATCCCATTAAAATTATTAGTAGTATACTTCATTTAAGAGAGATCTAATGATTGTATTGTGATATAATAATAGGGTACTTTTCCGTTTCGCCGGCGCAAATTTCACCAAGCAGACTTTATTGGTGACAACATACGGTATACACATAAAAAAATATTTTAAAAATGTTAGTTCTAAGAATTCTTTTTTTGAAGGCATAAACATTTTAATATCGCTTAAAATTTTATAAAAAGCCAATAAATAAAGACAATAAATTTGTAAAAAGGCATTAATTAGAATTTACTATGCTTTCATGGTTCAATATCCTGATTCGAGGGTTCATATCACGTGACCCCAAGCGATCTCATTTCACGTAAACTACTCCACAAAAATCTAATGCTCTTAGTAATTATCTACATTAATTTCAAGTTAAATCTCTTAATTTGGAACACAAGTTTAAATGCAAGAAATATTTCAATTCGTACGAATAGCTTACTCAGAAATTTAAAACCGCAGTGCTTTAATTCGCTAATGCATTCTCATTATAATTCGTGAATTCTAATGACCTTGACTTTACCTTTTCTATATTTTCGGCTTCGCGTAAGCGCTGTGATTGCATCCTAATTGACTTAACTACCGAAATGGCCTTAGACATAAAACTGAACTATCTGATAAAAATTCTATGTAATTATATGCCAGTATTGAAAGAAACAATCAGAAAAAGCTGCGATATGTTTTGAAAATGAGGCGTAAAAGGTTACCAGCGAGAATATTCTGTTTGGCATCGGTTGTACCATTATTGGCGACTTTTTCGCTTGCGCCGGCAAAACGGAAAAGTACCAATAATAGCTATATATGTATATTTAAAACGAGAGTTTAGAAATTTCAAAATTCAGATTATTATTATTAAAGTTGCTCAGTATGCTGCGAAATTTATTAAATAAATAATCAAGAGATAATAATTAAACAAAATGCCGTTACAATCTATTCTAACAGGCAGATTGAGGAAAAAAACGGAAGCAAAAATGAAACAATTTAACGACATATTAAATGTGCAATAATAATAATATTATAGATGTTGAGTTGCTTTGGTAGTTTAACTAGTTCCAGACTCCTAAAAGACATAAAGCGAATTTTCGCTGTGTCTAAAGCAACTACAAGAGACTTTAAACAAAACTTTGAACATAAACGCATTTCTTGTGCTAACAGAATCAACCGCCACTTGGGGCGATGTAACTAAAGTAGCAGTCAAATTCAAAAAGTAAACTTATAGTCAAAGACTACGTAAATAAATTTAAATGTAAGCAGACTCAAAAACTCTAATCGGCTTATTCAATTAAAATGTCAGCGGCAATAACGCAAAGCCGAAAATCTGCAAAATTATCAGAGCTGACAGAGATACAGAAACATTATTTTTAAATGAAAATGTTTCTTACAGACGATTCAGTTTCCAATGATTAAAAGCTATGAAAAGTAAAAAGAAAACCAGCCTTCCGAATTAACGAAAAAAGAACAAAGATTGTAAACCAATTTGTAGGAATTAAAATAGACAAAACTGAAAACATTAGAATAAAAATTTCAAAAATAGCCTAGCTTCATAAGAAGAACGAGGGAATATGATTGGGGATTAAATCCTCATATTTTGGAACTACTGTTCAATACGGTGAAAGAAAAAAATTTTTAATTATGGAGCTGTTACCTTGGCTATACCTGTGACAGAAAGGAAGAAGCAACAGTTCCGTGCCACTCAACGACCCTTTCTCCTCAACATAGCAAGATCCTTTCCCACCACTTCTAACACTGCTTTGTGCGTACTCTTCGGAATACATCCTTTATATCTTCTATCGGGGCTAACCAAAATATTAGAGCTTAAGAATAAGCTTCCTTACATAAATGCAGACAGCTCACAATTCAGATTTCCTTTCCTCGCTGCATGCAATAGCGAACTTAAACATGCTTCCGCACCAGTTCAAGAAATATTTTCACCACCTCCAAAAAAATCGTCGAATTAAAATTTCGCTTGGCTGGGTGAAAGCATGAAGGAAATAAAAACGAAGTGAAAAACGTGAATAGAGGAAACGAAGACGTCGACTCCCTCGCTTAAAATGCAGCTACTACTCTTGATTCTGAAGATTTTGATCATTATTCAGGTGATGCACCCTTCCCAGTTTATTACTACGAGAGAAATACCTATTCTTCAACTCGGGAAGCGTTCGCTGTTGTGGGCACCCGCGTTTTATAGCTTTCCAAGTATATCAACGTATGAGAGATTTTCGAACTTTTATGAATTTTCAAAGTAAACCAAGTGACCAGCTACAGACTAAGTACCAGAAATTATAAGCAACTCTGTACTATATCCTGGGTAACAACAAGATGTAGCTTTCGTTGCGGGTACAACACATGTAATTAGCCAACAAAGAGGTAAAGCGTAACCTAACTAACCACTGCCAGCCACCAGGCTTGGAGACTGCGAGCAAATTACAAAATAGCAGAATTGCGTGTGAATAATAAACAGTAATGAGAATTAGCTTAAGTGCGAGCTACTAGAGTACAAAAAGACCCAGGCCAGATGAAAACAAGATAACACGTAAAAGGCAGTGAAATATGTATTAAACATACAAGAATATCAGGAAAACAGATGCAAATGGAGCCTAATTTTGGGCATTAAGGCCCTTACACCTTATCAAGAATCTCATATAAGACATGCATCTTATCTAATATGTTTGCACAGTTTTTGATTTAATTAATTTTACTTTTGTAAATTCGAATGATTTGGGTAAGATTGCGCCAAAGGCTCGATGAAATTCAATCAGAACTTGCATAAGTTCGAATAGCTAAATAACATGGGTGTTTCTTCCAGGGTTTTGAGGGGGCTATCAATTTGGGTTTTCTGTGTAGCTGCTTCAGCAGAGTCATTTCGTGTGGTACAGTTTTTGGCTTAAGTGCCTGTGTTAATGCCCGACTTAATTTGGGAAGAAATTTTACTTTCTCTAACTGAAGGAAATTTCGAGAAAGTCCTGTGAGACGCAACATGTCCAACAAAACAGTTCTCACACTTGGGTTCTCCAGGCAACCTTGGTAATACCAATTACTAGTTCTGTAGATCTCAGCGACCACATGGCGATTCTCGGTCGAATGATGCCATTTCTGGCTGCTCTGACACTCAGGAACCTGGTTTTTTATGACATATTTTTCAACCTTAATTTGGAAAAACATGAGCTTTATCATGTCATAAATCCTTTAAAAGTTTGCAGTAGGTAATATCTGCGCCTGACAAAGGGGCATTGGGGCTTTTGTCTTGTATTTCGTGAGCTGCACGATTTTTTGACCAGTAAAAACTTTTTCAGTAACAGCTTCTAAAATAAAACTAATATTGAGGTCAATCATCTCAGAAGAAAGCCTCTCCTCATCTAAGAGTAAGACTTTCAAAAGCTCACCACTCAGTCGGCCAAAAACTACAACTAAGGCAGTTCGTCGTTTAAAAAAAGAAATTGATAAAACGTAATTCCCTCTTTCGATTTCGCCACAATAGGCGGAATGTTGATGGTCTTAGTCTTATCATCAGTATTATGAGTTATATTAACACAATTAACGTTAGCAGCATTTACCGATCTGGGGGGAGGATGAGAATTATCAGGAGTCTGACCAGTGGTAGCTACACTAGTATTAACACAATCAGAGTTCAATATAGTTTCCTCAGACAACTGTGTTTACAACGAAGAAGAATCTTTAGAACACTTCCTCTTCTCATGCCTATTAATACAAGCACATCACAGCGTTAGATCAACTAAAATGAACTCGAATTTTGAAGAAACATCATAACTAATCCAAAATCTCATCACAAAATCGGCAATATTGTAAAACACCTTTTGGAAGAAGAGTAAGGTATTTGTGAATAGAAACTGTTACGAAAAAGTCTAACATTTTTCTAGACTGATATTTTATTTTTAGCTAAGGATAAATGCAAACATTTCGCTCTTCAGTTTGTGTACAACTCTTGAAAATAATCAGCATCTTTAAAATGTAATATCTCGATCCATTTCTGTCCTACGGAAAACAAACTTTTGTATTTTTTCTTATATTCTGAACTAGCTGCTACGCGGCCAGCCTTCGTCTGCTTTTAAATGTACCAGAAAAATTCCTGAAGGGAACATCAAACGTTAAATTTAATAACTGCGCAGAATTTTACTCTGCTGAACAACTTAAAAAAAATGTAATTCATATAACAAAATTGCAATGAAATAAGCAATATCCCTTAATACAAATATTAATTATCCTAATAAATAGCCTTCTGTCGACAAACGTCCAGTATCCAAGAGAAACATATTGCACAGAATTATCTCCCTCATTTTTCCAAAAACTGCACAGAATTATCGCCCTTATTTTTTCAAGTGGCAACAGTGCTGATTTTCAATAGTCAGCAGTCCAGTATACAACTGAATGAAAACCTGTTGCCAAAACCACATTTCTAAAAGAATGATTCGAAATGATGCAATAAAATCGGAAAGATAAAATTAAAAAAAAAATCTGATTCGAATTTTTAAAAAAATCGCTTCGAGGTGCACTGGCTTTTGTCTAGATGTACCTATATACCAAATTTCGTAGTCCTGCGTCTATTAGCTTACGCGCAGCACGAACAAAAGACACTCTTTCTTTTATTATATGTCTTTTATTATATTCTTTTTTATATTATATTTTCAGAAACATAAGCATAAGATCGGAGGAACGTATAGAAAGTTACTTTCTTAATTTTTTTAAAAAACTGTCCGTTTTAAACTTAAAATTGCAAAAACAAGCGTATTTGTGTTATTTGAAACACATTTGCAAAAGGAATTATAGGTCTACGGCATGCGGGTGTGAAAATAAAGACTGAATAAGGATTTATGTGGTCACGATTTTAGAGTTATTAGATTTTTTTGAAGCAGAAAACATGAAAATTTGCAGTGTTCTCGCTGGGATTCGAACTCCGGATCTACCGATTAGCCACTGGATGTTCTTTTCAATTACACCACGATCAGGAGGGAGGAAGGCATTTTACATTCTCGCCCAATTTAAAGAGCAACTGGAAAAGAGGGACTAGGCTGTCAAATCTTGATGCTGACGAATCATCATCTACCACCTTTTTAGTTCCGGTACCACTGCGGAAATCATTTAACATTTTTATTTTGGAGCAAAAGACGTGAAAAATGTGCAATTTCGTTGCCGAAATTTAAACTCCGGATCTTCCAATTGCGACCTGGACGTCATTTCCAGTGTCAAAACTAAGGTATGCAATAAGAAGGGAGAAATACCTTATACGGTATACATACCAATTATAATATAGCTAGTTTAATTTTAAATTTGTAACGTTTAGAATTTTTAAATTGAACCAGCATTGAAACTAAAAAAAGTGGGAGGAAATAAAATGTAAGGAAATGAAAATGTAATGAAAATTTTCATTCTTTTTATGCAGGGTAAAGCCACGCATCCTTCCGTACCTAATGTTATCTACGCCGTCCTCGCTGTGTCCAGTGGGCTTCTGGCACTTCTTCTGCCGGAAACTAAAGGCCAAAAAATGCCGGATTCTTTGTTGGAAGGAGAGCATTTTGGAGAGTGAGTTTATTTATGTTAGCTTATTCAGTTTTGATGATTTTCCGGATTCAGTTATCTATCTTCTTTCTAAAACAGCGAATGAAATCATAACAAGGATTACATTTTAAGAGCACTGTTCTTCGGGAATATAAAAACTGAGTTTTATCGTTATGAATATGCTAAAATCCCGACACTGAAGAAAATAAAGCTAACGGCTTTAAATAGTTGGTCTACTGAAGAAGATAGCTAACTATACTTGAACAATATTTTTAAAATCTCTGCTTATATTTAATAAATGTGAAAAATCAAGTAACAGAACATATTGTAATATGAAAAATGGTAGAACTTTCGAAAAGAGATGAAAATCCATAGTTGGAGTATTGCCCTAACTATGGATCTGTAATAGTATCCTATTACAGATTACGGCTCCAACTAGAGTTCCAATTACGGATTCGTAGTAGTGCTTGTCCGTGTAGTGCTAATGATCTCATGGCGCCTTTTCGCTAAAGAACTGCATTTTCAACATTAGTAGATCCATGAAACAGCTCTTTATTTTTTGATGGGTATATTATATGGTTAACATATTGTTACTCTTAGCAGCCTGCCCCCCCCTTTTTTTTTTTTTTTTTTTTTGATTGATTGATTGAAGAGATTTTGAAGAAGGGAACTGATTTTTTCGTTAACATCATATTTCCATAGCACAACTTCTGTCTTAAAAAGTATGTTGAAGTATTCGCGTTGTTTGGGGCAAAATACTTGTATCACGTGCCTATCTGTTGCAATGCAGATGTGTACTTGTTCTAATTAGTCTCCAGATGATGGTGAAATAAATAAATGGAAAAAAAAAAAAAAAAAAAAAAAAAAAAAAAAAACATTCTACTCTTTTTTAGCCTAGGTAAGTAAAAAACATTAACCCCCCCCCCGAAAACCAATCTGTTTTTTCTGGAAAAGTCCCGAACAACTTGTAAAGCGTCCGGGGGGGGCTCCAAAGCTCTAGGAAAACAGTCTTGCATTGTATTGTTATTGGTATATTGACAGGCAACAACTAATCCCTAGAAACGAAGATCATTTAGTTTAGTTGCGAAATAACTCATGCAAATTCAGAAGCCCGATGGCTAACGCGCCTCGTAGAATGTACTCAAGTCTGTTTAGCCTCTGAGAAATCTTTGTCAGCAGATTTTTAAATTGCGCAGCGGGAATTTTTTCCTTGCTCAGTTTTCTCAAATTAAAGCATACATATACTAATTAATATGTACTAAAAACCACCTGACTCTTAGAATTTAGTGCCCTGGAAGCGACAATGCTTCTTCGGGGAGAAAATGCAGACAGCACCATCGTGCAATTCTTATCTATACACAAAAAGAAATGTCAGTACTCTTCTGTTATAGAGACGGAATTCACAAATGTAATGTATGTATGTGTGTATGTGCATATATATATGTATGGTATATACACATACATCATACGTACGTGCATATATACACACATATACGAACACATCCATCCACAGATACATGCATTTACGAATCCGGTCCTGATAACAGAAGAGTACCGAATTGTCTTACGAGCTGCAGCTCACTCGAGAACAAACTGACCGAATCTTGGGCTCAAATATGCATAAGTATTGAATGATTTGGAATGGAATACTTTAAATATCGTATCATGATCCTCCCCGACATCATCTAATTATGAGTGATCAACACAGAGCAGTCGTGCGCCTCAAAGCGAGGCAAAAAGTCAATCTCCGAGAGCGTCATGATGGTGATTGCAGAAGCATCACAACAGTCCGGGTGATTCGTACATTTTTTAAACACTAAAAAAAGGGGGGAAAACACAAGAATACTATGGATGCCTATTCAGGACCAGCTTCAGCATTTTCGGCGCCTTAAACGATTAGTACAACTGACTCTTCGCATAAACTAAACATATTTAATAATTGAAAGGAAAATATACATTTGTTTAGTTGTTTCTTGTGGAAACAACTTAGCTGGCATCTTTCCAATACTGGCATTCTAAAGGGCAGCCTGCATTGTATGCGTTTGGAAGCTGGCCTTTCGTCAACGCTTCTACCCGAATCACCTCTCCGATTGAAATCTGTCCGGACAGGCTTGAAACGTTCTCCATGTTGAAGTGGTGTCGCAAACATCGTCAATGGTAAAGGTAAATAGGAGTTATCGAGAATCAGCTTGAGCGAGGAGAGCAAGTATTGAACTGGATTACTTGGATTATGATCAAGCATTGAAAGATACCGTCAACCTACAACTAGGGATGTGGTTTTTTTTTAAGGGCAACTCGTTTCACATTGACGTTACAGGCTAAAAAAACCCACAAATTTTCATAAAGCTGTGCTGTTTGATTGGATTTCTAATTCATGCTAATCTACTAGTAATTAGCGGTCTTATCGTTCGGCCGCTGGTAGACCGGTGAGAACAGAGATCATAGTTAAATTTTGCCAAATTTTAGTTAATTTACAATTTAACATGGTGCTCAAGCAGGGACTGCCAATAACTGCTATTTTCCCTTAAATTAACCAATTGTTAATATAATAAACCAATTGAAACTGTTGAAACAGATATCTATGATACATTAATAAATTAGTAAATTACTGATCATTAATAAATTGAATGACGGAAGATATTGATACATTAGAAAGGAAACGAGGCCACATAAAGACTTCCATTATAAAAATAACTGGCAGAATCAAAAATGAATGTGAATGCAGAGGAAATAGAAATTTCCTTAACTCTTGTTTGAAAAATCAAATGAATCAAAACAAACAAATGCAGATATAGGAAAATTCATAAGTATAAAGAATCTATACTACGGTTTAAACGATTTGGACGAATATATTGGAAAAATAACTTCATTTAACTAAAAAGCTAACAGAAAGTTGAAATAAATTAATACAGAACAATAATTACCATTTCGAAGTTTTATGGCAAGAATTGTGGGTACTATTCGGTTTCGAGGGCCGTAAAAAATCGCCAAACTATTGTTGATGCCAATGCTGCAATAAAATAATTCGCTGCAACCATAATAATTGCCGCAAGAAAGGAAGTATAATAGTAAATAACTACCTAAGATTGATGTTTAAAATTTAGATGAAAGGTTAATTTCATATAATACTTTTTTATTATTATAATTTATATGAAAAAGGCTAAACATGACTGAATGGAAGCATAAGAGTCAATAACTATTTCAGATCATTATTATAATTTATATAAAAAATGCTAAACATAACCGAATGGATGCCTGCATCGCTATTTCGCTACCGACTTATCACTAAAGCATAATTTCATCTCGTTGGTTGTTCAAACGGAATTTTCTATGATGAATGATGCCTTTTCTTTGAAAATATTCTCGGTACAGTGCAGAATCGCTCACTTATTTGTTCGCCGCTTTTTACAAGGGTAAAAACAATTGGATTTTTGTCAATTTTCTTTTAAGTGAAAATAGGTCGATGTGTACATAGATAAAGTCAAGGGTGTGCGCAATGCCATTTTTGTGCAATTCTAGGATTTTTTTTTAAGTGAAAATAGGTCGATGTGCACATGGATACCAAGTATGTGCAATTCTTAAAAACGCGTCAAACAGTGGGTGATTCTGCACTTTACCCAAAATTCTACTGCCGAGTTTTCGTCATGGGCGATTCCCAAATTGTTAAATCCATAGGATATCAAAAAAGGATTTAAAATCAAAAAAGGATTTAAAAATTAAACTAGTATTTCAATGGCGTCTTAAGAAATATAGAACTATTTAAACTTACGCAGTCTGAAATCAGCGCGTACGCTAGATTTGGCGCGCTGTTAAATAGGCGCGTTTGCTGGATTTGGCGCTTTTGCGCGTACATTTTCGCACAATTTTTTACGGCCCTCGAAACCGAGTAGTACCGAATTGTGAATGGCTGATATTTTTGAACACTTTTTCATCAGCCATACACCAAAACAAAGTGCTTGTATGCTTGACAATATAAATTCCATCAAAGTAAGTATTCCATCAAAGATTGGACAGATGACGATTTCTTAAGAATTCAGTTTCTGAGCTAGCTATTGTTTCGCTATGAAACACGATTGCGTATCAGACGGTTTAGAGGTTAAGTTATTTAATTACGGCAAAGACTCGAGGGCTATCTGCCTAAGAGGAGGGATGCCTTCGTGGAGGATTTCTAAGGGAAACTTGCTCGTATACACGTTACACGTGGAGAAAACCACGAAAACGCCCATGCAGCCAGCCCGTTCGCGGGATTCGAACCTCGGTCCGCTGAAAGCTACTTTCCCGCTCGGCCCCTGGTGGGCCAGACGGTTTAGAAACTAGCCAAAGAAAATTACGAAACTTCAGTAAAACTTCTCGCAGAAAGATTTGGAAATAAAGATATGTTGATAAACGCACATATAGCTAAAATTTAACCAAACTGCTATCAGTCCTCAACACTTCGTTCAGAAAAAGGTTTCGAGAAATTCTAGCTAGTGGAAATTTTACGCAGTTAGTCTCCTTAAAATCAGATCCTGTTATCTTAATTCCTTTCACTGGTTGATCTACGCGAAAACAAAATCTAGGGGAAATAATTGTTTTTGCCATCTGTGCAAATATTGCAACCAGTAGGCTTCCATCAGCAGGGGGGAGAAAGAAAAAATTACCTTTAACTATCAATGTTATGACCAGTGACTCATGTTATACGCAAACATCATGCGCAATGTGCCAGAATAGTGCTGCATGTTTTCCCACAAACTCTATCACGGGGCAGAAGTTTTATGCAAAGATTCTGATAGGTCACATTTGTTCTGCTGTCTGAAAAATAACATTGAGCGCCGGACAAAAAGACTGCAATGCATAAGTGAATTTGAGTAGGTGAGGGTTATTTTGAATTTACTATATTACTCACTGCGTAAGGCAATTTGAAAGGGTTAATTTGTAGAGCGAAGATAAGGAAGGTTGATATGCCCACTCATTTCTGGACCTCTATGCCCTAAGTCCTGAATCCTCGATATTTTCTGATCGCGCTGCATTTAGTAAGCTTGCAA